TAGTGCTATAGTATTTTGGCTGTGGAATTTAAAATTTTGGAAAGTTGAAAATTATGTGCTTTAGAAAAAAAGTTTTCTACAGCCAAAAAAATGAACTAAGAAAATATTTTGGCTGTGAGAAAAAAAGGAAAGCCAAAGCTTCTAAAGCTTGATTGGATGTATTTCAAATCTTTAGAAATTTTTTTGCTTTGTAAAGACTCTAAAACACTTACCAATCAGACTCTAAATCATTCATACGTGGTTTATATTTATTCTCTACACATATAGTAGTAATTCAATGATCATTTCGTTTTGTCAAAGATTGAGAATTGATGTCTATTAGTTTGATGGACATGTCCTCTTTCACTTGTTAACTACATATTCACATGATTGTTGTAAATAGTAGAAATTAATATAAGTTTTCATAGGAGATTTTTGGTTAAAAATGAATAGCAATTAAAAAAATGTCATACATGAGAATAATCATGTCGGTAAGACAATGAGTAATTAATTAGAATGTTCCACTGATTCTTTGATTTATTAACTAAGATCTATCATTAGTTTAATTAATTAATATCAATAATTACTTCGAGATGATTCTCTATTGACAAAAGTGAATGAACAAAAAAATTAATCCAGTAAAGATATCAGAAAGCAAAACCCTAGGATCCGGTCATCCAAGGGAACCACTGAAAGTAAATCTTTATAATAAAGGAAATTAAAATATACTCATTATATGCGAGAGTGTGACATATGTATGTATAAATCATATTTGTAATATTTTATTTTATGCACAGAAATTTATTTTCATGGTCGAAGAAAACAACAAAAAAGGAAATTATTTTTATTTTTTCAAAGAGAGGGAGAGAGAGTGAAAAGACAAGACAAACGTCAAATCGGATCTCTATCTTATCATACGACTGCCAGTGCCTTCTTGTGTTGTCATTTTTTTTCACAAATATTTCCCACTTTTACTATACGACGACACAAATTTTAACCAATATGTATATACATTCTATATCGTTCTACCATTTTTCACATAAATTAAAAAAATAAATAAATTTTATTTTTATCTTTTTTTTTTTTTTGGTAGACTTATTTTTATCTTTTATTAATATATTAAATAATACCCTCTTTCTAATTAATAAACTAAAATAGTAAGAATAAAAAAGAAAGAGAAATATTAATGGATATGCATACACGAATGTATAATTGAGTCTCGTAAAGTTGCACTGTTCTCTCGCTTCTATTCACTTTTTAAAGACGTATGTACCCCTATATTATGATATTAGAAACTTCGTAGATTATAGGTTGAAATTATGTCAGACGGCAGGAGGAGATATTGTGTAGATATTGTTTTGGGAGTTCTGTTTATATTTTTTTTTTTTTGCGAGAAACGAACAGTCGTCTTCTTTGCTTCCTATATGAAGAGACAGAGTCGGCGTTTTGGGACTGTAGAAAAAAGGAAACGACACCACAAAATTTTTTCTCTCTTATTATCTTTATCTCCTTTTATTTCTCAGATCTGGGTTTTTATTGATCTCGATTTGTCTTCTGGTAATCAATTTGCCATTTTTTTCGTTTGATTTGTGTTTCAACGACATGTTTTGCGTTATCTAACTAGGGTTTATGCAATTTTTTCCATAACAGATGAGGCCGATTCTGCTTTCTCCGCGTTTGATAGCTTTTGGTGAAGAACCTCGCGGCGAGAGGGTTAATGTTTATTAGAAGATGCAAACAGTGTGTGGTATCATCAATGTCCTCGACGATGATGAACGGCAGTACATTCTCGGTCTTCTCTCGGTCGCCTGTTGGAGTTTCTGAACAAACCAGCCTGATTATTTAATATCTGTCTTATTTTAGTTAGCAGCTAGTCGTATTATCGACTAACAATGTTATCAATCAAAACTTGTTGTTTGGTGTTGGATGATTATTTTCAAATTTCAAGGTGAAATCATTATCGTAGTTATCAGATAACGTATTATCGGGATACTATTGTTATCAAAACAGAAATGTTGTTTTGATTAATGTTTTAAAAGTCGCAAGTAAAAATTTGTCTGATTATAGTTAATAGATAGCCGAATTATCGCCTAACATTGTTATCAATACATGGAGACATTGTTGTCTTGGGTTTGATGAATAGTTATAATTTTTGAGGTAATAACATGGTCATAGTTAGCCACTAACGTCTTATTGGGGTACTACTGTTAGCAAAACGTGAATGTTGTTTGTATGAATGTTTTTAAAAGCTGTTTTAAGTTAATATATGCCTTATTTTAGTTAGCGCTAGTCGTATTATCGACTAACAATGTTATCAATCGAAACTTGTTGTTCGGTATTTGATGATTATTTACAAATTTCGTTTGATGTTTGGTGTTTGATGATTTTGTTTTACCGTATCTTTATATTACCAATGTCGGCAGAGATATATTTTCAAAGATATCGTTAGCATTTAATGCTGTCGTACCTATGTTATACGCAGTTAACAAATTTTCTGTTTTGTAGGGGTGTTTTCGAATTAAATGCTGTCAGGGAAGAGAGAGGTTTAATTATGTGATCTTTATGCATAGATACTTAATTTTTGGATCGTCTGGGCATAGATATTTAACTAACCCAAAAAGAAAATTAGTCTTTAAAACTGCATTGAAAACACAAAACGACACTCTCTGTAAAACGAGATTAAAACCTTAAAACGATTCTCTTTGTGAAACGGAGAGAGTATATATTTTTGTTAAAAATATTTGGATTTAGAAAAATGGAATAGTGCTTTTTTCCCTTATTTTTCTGTCAAAGCAAAATATGAAAAATCAAAAGGAAATGCATATCATCCCCGCACGTGTGTTCCTGACTGCCTGCCTCATAGTGTACCATTTGAAGAATATCTCATTCGAGAAGGACATTAGATCAACGGTCCATCGGATGGGAAAACCATCGTAACAATATAATTAAGTTTTTTTTTTTGTTTTGATAATAGACATATATATATATATATATATATATGTATGAAATGATCTGATTATAAATTTCCAACATATATTCTGCCTTCATCAAGGGAACATGCTTAAGAATTTTAATCTTTTTTAACTTTGTTAGAACTACTATTTTAATCGAAGTTAAATTGAAAGATTTGTTATAAAAAAACAACTAAAAAATATTGTAGCGGTCCGACAGAAGGACCCGATCAACCCGGCAGACACGCGTCTCCATGCCCTTCGACTCTCCTCCACCAATTTCTTAAGAAATTTCATTATTTATTTATTACTTTTGTTTTTCTTATCCCATCTGAATTAGGAGTGTACATTCCTGCCTATTAATTTGCAAACAAAATGTGAACCAAAAGAAATAAATTAATAATAATTTGCAAACAAACTATTATTGCAAACAAATTTGTTAACATTATTTAGTTAATGTATTTTTAGATAATAAAAAAAATTCACGTCCCCTGTAACATAATCAGTAAATCACATATCATCATGGACATGAAGTTTTTTTCTTTGGTTAGAGAACACTTGTAATCTAAATGAATAACTTGATAATTTATTTTAGTCAACGTACTTCCAATTCAGAACCTCAAAATCATTTACGTTCCCTATTTTCAATCCTAATTTATTATCGTGTAAAAAATAATTAAAGAGATTGTAATGTAGGATAAAAAGTGAGGGATTATTACGGATTTTGCCCTTTTTATAATGGCATTTATGGATTTTGCCCTTTTTTAAATAATTTATGGATTTTACCCTTTTTAACACTTAAAAATGTATGTATATATGATTTTTTTTTGGCAAAAATTCGTACATTATACCAAATACTAAACCCTAAGAACAACTGGAACCGACTAAACCCAAACATAACGAATGAAACGCATGTTAAATCATATTTTTGGAGCCTAAAAAAAGGCAAAATTCATAAATTATTCAAAAAGGGTAAAATCCATAAATGCCAATATAAAAAAGGGCAAAATCCGTAATTAATTCTAAAAAGTGGGGAAACAAGAGAAGAGACGGTCAGAAACGGACCAACGGTCAAACACCAAACCATCAAATCATATTCACTTAAGTTAGTACAGTGGAGACTTTCAATGGTTCTGCCTTAACGAATTAGGCCAATGTTCTTATCCATCACCGTCCTGTCCAGCTTACCATTTTATCCCATCTTTACATAAATTACATTTTAGCAATTTAATACGCATGCATATAGCCCTGAGACCAATTATCCGGGATCTAGGATTCGATATGGGATCCGCTCCGAAAAATAGGATATTCGAATGGAGCGGATCTGGATCCGGATCCGGATGATGAAAAGGCGGATCCGACCAGATCCGGATGATAGAAAATTTAAAGCCGGATATCCGGATCCGGAATATTTTATATCAAATAATATTTTTAAAATATTTTTACTATTATTTTATTATTTTATATAATAATAATATATTTTTCTAATATTTTTAATTATTTGTTTTAAAATATTTTCCTTCAAATTTTATATTAATACAACAAATTATATTAAAAAAAACTCGGATTCGGATATCCGAATCCACCGGATCCGGGTTTTTATAGATATCCGGATTCGGATATCCGAATAAAACGGATTCTGATCCGGATAATAAAAAAGCGGATCCGAATATCCTAAAAAAGTCGGATATCCGGATCTGGCCCAGACCTAGATATGGGTTCGAATAGTGATCATGGTTGGTCTGTTCTTTTCTGCGATAAATGTGGTGAATGCTTTTTTTAAAATAAAGTTTCATGGACGTGTCGTGCTATGACGATGGCACACATAGAAATGCGACACACACAATAAAAACATATATATGTATATATGGTTGATCCAAATTAACAATTTTTTTTTTTTAACATCTTTGTATCGATAAGATCCGATCTATAGCCAATTCCTACTACGCGGGGTAACACGACTTAGTGGAGTCAAACTCCGATGAGAAAGGCGGAGTCAAATAGACTTAACCACTTGATTAAAGACACATCCTTTGATCCAAATTAACAATTATAAGGTTTAATGTTTAAAAAATTGGTCGAAATCAATTTTGCTAAATTTCTCTACCCTTATAGTGCACCGTTTTAAATCGTTTGACTGCATCACTATGTGTATATTAAATGCACCAACCACTTATTTTCTTATGGTATCTCCCTAAATCAATTTGTTTGCATCGAAAGCCCTCATTTTATTAGCATTAGGTGACGCACGAACCCATGTATAGATGTCTATATGTATAATATTATATCGTCGATTAAGTTTCACATATGTCGTGAACCAAGCCAAAAGACAGTTTCCAAAGGCTCTTTTTCTTGATTTTATTTTCCTTGCAAACTAATTAAGTACGTGATTATGTATACGACTAAGTGTTACGTGACACACGGGGTTGATTTGGGTCCTTACTTAGTCGGCAGCTAATGATATTTACATATCTTATGATTATTAAATACTTAATGAGTTAATTTCTAATTTTTAAATTCACAAAACTAATCATTTCTTCCTTTTCCATATTCCATTCCCCCCAAATGGATACGGCCCATACTTCTATGCTTAACATACCCTTTTCTCACTTTGTCATATCTCTCTAAACTCTAATTGCTGATTTCCTTCTGATGACAAAAAAAAATCAAATACTACAAAACTCCAAATGCTACTAGCCAATAAATAAAAGCACAAACGTCGACATTAATCATTTTATTATAAATTAAATTCGAGACCCCCCGGTCCGCCCATTCAGATCTCTGTCTCTTTCTCTCTCTATATCTCTATCTACCCACAAAGTAACCAATCTTCTAAACACTATAGTCTCTCTCTCTCTCTCTCTTTTTCATCTTCTCCATAAGCTTCTAAAGATAAAAGCTTGTGACCCTTCTTCACTTATAAATTTTTGCTTAAGAAAGAAAACTCTTTTCTTCATCTTCTATAGCATAATAAAATCAAAGGATACGACCTTTTTTTACATTGTTTCTTTTAAAACCCTAATTTGTTTTCCAAGAAGAATCAAAGAAATAAAGGAGCCATGAGCAGTACTTTCGAAGAATCCCTCAAATCTATGTCGTTGGATTACCTAAACCTCTTAATCAACGGTCAAGCTTTCTCTGATGTCACTTTCAGCGTCGAAGGCCGTTTAGTCCACGCTCACCGTTGCATCCTCGCCGCTCGTAGCCTCTTCTTCCGCAAGTTCTTCTGCGAATCTGATCCTTCGCAAACCGGAGCTGAACAGGCTAACCAAACCGGATCAGGAGCCAGAGCAGCTGCAGTGGGAGGAGTGATACCGGTTAACTCGGTCGGTTACGAAGTTTTCTTACTTCTACTTCAGTTCTTATACAGTGGTCAAGTCTCAATTGTACCACATAAGCACGAGCCAAGATCGAATTGTGGAGATAGGGGATGCTGGCACACGCATTGCACTGCAGCCGTCGATCTCTCTTTAGATATCTTAGCCGCCGCTCGATATTTTGGCGTCGAGCAGCTCGCGTTACTTACGCAGGTTCTATTTCTCATTACTATATCAAGTCTCTTTAGGTTACCAATTCTTGTTCTTTAATCTTGGTAAACTACTGTACCGATTTGTTTTGGCTCGGTTGAGATTAACTTAGAAACCCTATTGTTGATAAACATATGAAAATATATAGATAAGAGTTGTTATTGACTTGATTTCATGTGTAACTGAGCTTAAAGATTGCTTGCATTGCACGTACTGCAACTTTCTTTCCAGATTTAGACGGCAATGGACTGATATGTTTGTGTTGCACACCGAGAACTTTCCTTGAAATGGAAACTTTTTGATGGTTTTTTTTTTTTTTCCAATATAAACCCTCTTTATTTAATAGAAAATATCTTTGAAAATAGTAACTTTGAATAATAACAGTGATTTTATTAGTATCCCCCAAAATTGAGAAATGTCTTATGACTCTTATAATCATTCTGCGATTTTGCATGATTTTAGTAATCAGATATTTGTGAGGATCGCCATTTACGTTTAGCATTCCCGCGCGCAATTCCTCAAATGCAATGACCAAATTTGGAAGAATTTTATCATTTCCATAGGCTTTTAACTAGAATTTCGTCGCTTAAATTTTTTGGCCATTTCGTTTCGTATTTTTTTCCACAATCTTGGGCTTTCACACAATGATATCAAGGATGAACAAAAATGTTCCTCTTCTGTTATAGTCTTATCTTACTTTCCTCATTTGGGTTTATATAAAATGAAAACCCTTGGTGAAACGACTCCTTTATAGTGAACATGATATTCATCCAATGAAATGGATAGTGTCTTTAAATTCAATATTGTTTTAAAGCCATTTGTGTTTTTCTTTTTCCCTCACAGAAACATTTGACAAGTATGGTGGAGAAAGCCTCCGTTGAAGATGTGATGAAAGTGCTGATAGCTTCAAGAAAGCAAGACATGCATCAATTATGGACCACTTGCTCTTACCTAATCGCCAAATCCGGTCTTCCACAAGAGATTCTAGCCAAACATCTCCCAATCGAACTTGTAGCCAAGGTTGAGGAGCTCCGTCTCAAATCTTCAATGCCTCTTCGTTCCCTAATGCCTCACCACCATGACCTAACCTCGTCTTTAGACCTCGAGGACCAGAAGATCAGGAGGATGAGACGTGCATTGGATTCCTCCGATGTCGAGCTTGTGAAGCTAATGGTGATGGGAGAAGGACTCAATCTAGATGAGTCCCTAGCTTTGATTTACGCCGTTGAGAATTGTAGTAGAGAGGTTGTGAAGGCACTTCTTGAGCTTGGAGCAGCCGATGTGAACTATCCCGCCGGTCCCACAGGGAAAACCGCTCTTCACATTGCGGCTGAAATGGTCTCTCCGGACATGGTGGCTGTCTTACTTGACCACCACGCTGACCCAAACGTGCAGACTGTGGATGGAATCACTCCTCTCGACATCCTTAGAACCCTAACGTCGGATTTTTTGTTCAAGGGGGCGATTCCTGGATTGACTCATATTGAGCCCAATAAGCTCAGGCTTTGTCTCGAGCTGGTCCAGTCCGCGGCATTGGTTATATCACGCGAAGAAGGAAACAATACCAGTAACGACAACAACGCAATGATCTACCCTAGAATGAAAGACGAACACACGAGCGGAAGTAGTTTGGATTCAAGATTGGTTTATCTGAATCTTGGGGCTACAAATCGGGATCTTGGGGATGAAAATAGCAATCAAAGGGAAGGAATGAATCTGCATCATCATCATCATGACCCATCAACGATGTATCATCATCACCACCACCACCATTTCTAGGTCTTTGTAGTCCATATCATCCCTTTTTGATAACCATCATCCTTTAATTAAGATAAACATATTCAATAACTAATTAATTTGTTGTTATGATCTTTTTTTCTTTATATATGGCAATGCGAACAAATTTAAACGTTAATGACATGGAGAGTGGAAGGAGAACACAAACAAAAGGGTCATATATATTGATGGATAAAAGACCTTGAGCTATATGTTGACTTGTATAAGCTTAATTATTAATATAGCTTTTTTTATTAGCAGTAAGGCCTTGCTGCAATCCATCCATAACTCATCAAAATTCCGTCATTGGATTTATATTATTCTTTTTTTTTTTTAATATCTGAAAATTCAAACCCACACCAGATTAAATTCATTTTTTTTGGAGAAAAGATTCCTTCCAACGGACGTTGAATCCAGTACCTCGACTTAGAAGATTTACCACTGGACCAACACCACGTTGGTTATATTATTCATTTTTCTTATAAACAAACAATGCATTTCAGTGATCTTGACCATAACATTTCCTTGTCTTATAATCTACTTAACCCAAAAAGAAAAAGAAAAACCCAAAAGAAAAAAGGGAAAACGAAAAAAAAAAAAAAGCCAATATTTATGGAAGTGTCAATGTCATCACCACTACAATATTGCCATTAGTGTATTCGAAGACAAACGACATATGATCAGAGCTTGTAACTTTGTAGCCATTATACGAAAATATTAATTTCTCTTACTTTTTAAAAAAATTGGTTGAAAATATAAAATTCCGCAATAATGAAATAACAATTCTTCTGCTGCCAAAAAAATAAAATATTTAGGTAAAATTTGAATCTTGAAAAGCTTTATGGCTATATTGAGATTTTTCTCAAATATAGAGGACTACTCTACAAAACTTTTGAAGCACTGTATAGAGTTTACAACCTAGTCCTTTAGAAGAGAGGAAATTCTCTTTGACTTGGTCAGTCTAACCGTCTCTACAGTTACTCATGGATTAGATTCGCCTGAGCGTCTCCGTCTTCCGACGCCGAGCTATCTCCGTCAATAATGTCCTTTTCCGGCGAATCCAATTGCACGCTCTCCGGAGTTTCACTTTCGTTTGGGCTATCTTCCAGATCTTGATTCATCCTCAAATTCTCTCCTCTTACGAGATTCAACACGAATCCGTTGTGTGTTCTTCCCGTCTGCAGATAATCGCCTTCCGTGACAGTGATGCTATGAGAAGACGAAGAAGCAGCCATAATCGAATCGTTCTCCGAAGCTCTAATCTGTTCGGGATCAACGGCGTCGAGATTCTGGACGTAGTCCGTGAACATCTGAGCAGAATTGGTCCTCATCAATGGTCCACCAGATCGAGTCCAGTCTTCAGCTTCTGGAGAATCACATTCGCTTCCTGCGTCATAGGAATGGCTTAAGTTGCTGGTTCGATTACTATTCCTCCCGGATCCAACCACGATATGCTGGTACAACCGTGAAGCTTCAGCTAGTACATCATCGTCGACGGATCCGGATGAGTTCTGACGAGCTATACAGTTCCAGGAAGGGATTCTTTTGGAGGCGTTGAATCTATTGGTTCCGGCCAAAAGGTGTTTAGATGGCGGTGAGGATGAGATGGCAGAGAAAGCTGCGGCTCTTTCTGCGCTGCGTTTTAGGCGGCGCATGTGGTTAAGAACGGCGACGCATTCGTCGAGTGCTAGTTCGATCCCGAAGTTTGCTTTGATTACTGCGAGTTTCTCCCAGGTGCATCTCCTTCCTTGATTTGCCGCCTTTTGAATCTCTACATTGCTTGGGTTCTGTATGATCTTCAAGTACTGTATCCAGAAACTCAATACATTAATAATTGGATAAAAGAGTGAGGAAATTTGCTTGTTGGAATCATTGTTTTGTTTACCTGAGAAAAAGTAGCTGGCATGACGATAGTGACATCGCCTTCCCATTCTTGAGCAAATAGTGAAGCTACTTCTCGTAGAGGAAGCCCGAGTTCTAGTACTTGATTACATCTATGCTTCACTTCCATCTCCGCGAGTTGCGCGAGCTTTGGAGAGATTAAGAGATCGAATTAGGCACTGGAATATAAGCATTGAGGATCAACTAGATATATATATATATATATATTATACCTTTGCCGCAAATCGACCTCCACAAGCTCTTACAAACTCCTTCATCCTCAAGAATGGTGCTATATGAGGGTTGGCTTGACTGACAATGAAATGGTTGACATTGAAAAGCTCTTTGAGTTGTATCATCGGTAAATCCATCTCCAAACTACCGTCCCTCCAGCGCCGAACTGATGCTGAGCCCTCTTCAGGATCTAAGTTAAAAGGTGGGTGATATGGAACAATCTCTCCAGTTCTATCTTTGGCCATGAGTTCTTGAGCCTCGAAAAGACCTGGGAAAGCACAAGATGCAGTCACTGCACTCCATATCACAACATGAGGCGAAGTCAGGTAATTGAGACATCTAGGCGGCTCGTGTTTCCTCAGGGAACAAACTGTTATCCCTAGAATCCGTCCTGTAATATCGTAAGCTTCTTGGAATGTGAGATTGTTGGTGAGATTCCTCAACTTCCATTGCAAATGCCGGATCTCATGGACTGCGCCTTGAGTCATAACCCGTTTCACAGTAGTGAAAATCCCTCCCATCTGATCAAAGAACTGCAAAGCATGCCAAGAGCCTTCAAAGAAGCTCTGTAACTCAGGCCATGACCTTGTCCCCACAACCGCACACATTACAGACCCCACACTTGAACCGGCTATAATTCTCGGCAAGAGCTTATGTTCCACAAGCGTCTTGACCACACCAAGATGGAAAGCCCCTAGAGAAGCTCCTCCGCTCAGAAGCAGAGCCGTTCTTCCATATGCGTGTCTCGTCTCATGCATAAAAGAGAGTTTCTCCTCCAGAGAAAGCTCTTCAGTGTCCATGTCGCAAACCATCCTAAGCTGTGTAGAGACCTCATCGATATACTCTTTGATGAGTCTCGGTACGTGAAGCCTTCCCTTGTGAAGCTCAGGGTTACACATATTACCTAAATTTCTCACAAGATCAGCTCTCATACAGAAGATAATGTCTCTCAGAGAGCCCTCATGACGTCTATGCTTAAGCTCCTCAAGCTTATTACTCACGAGCTCCACATCAAAAAGATCTGTCTCGTTCACCTTCGGAGTCTCTTTATCGAGCATCTTTGCGGCGTGAGACCATTCCTCGTACGTCAATGCAGCTCTCATCATGTTCCTCCAGAATTTCCTCCTGTAAGCCATCTCAGCCTTTGCTTTTAAGCTGGTGTAGCGATTCAACAGAAAGGCCATCGTCGTCACCATTACTAATATCCCTTGGGGATTCCTGGGATGTAGTAAGGAAACAAACGGTGATAGTAAAACCCTACCTCCTCTGAGGAAAAACATGAGAAATCTGAAGACTTTGTGTCTGAATATAGAAACGGAGTTGCAGAACAAGATCCGGAAGGCAATTGTTCTTCCGATTATAGTCGTGGGTCCTATAATTGAGAACGCATCAACACCTGCTTCGTTGCTTATATCCATTGTCTCCGACTCAAAGATGAGAACCTAATCACTGGTTTTAACGATAGGCGCAAAGAAACGAACCCAGATGTGTAAGACCAGAATCAGATGAATCAAAAGATTGATTTTTTCAAACCCATTAGAGAAGAGAACGAGAGATGGCTAATCCACCGAGGATTGAAATTGAGAAAGATGAGACAGCAAGTGATGGGAGGCATAGGGATCTGCAAGATAACATAGAAAAAAAAAGATTCCGATGTATAATGGAGGACTTCAGGATTTCGTTACAGAGAAGAACAGAGGAGGAAATTAATTTAAATGAAACCTGAGATTCATTTTTGCTAAGAGACAAAAATGGCGATCTAAGACCCACGCTAATCTTTGGACTTTCTAATTTTGGGAACATAAACTCGCGAACACGACAAATTGAAAAAGAATAATGCTTTGTCTTTTGCACAAATAGTCTCTGTTTTTGAAACTCGCGTGTCGCAACGAAGATAAAACCGTTGAATTCAAACATCTCTGGTTCGTATTAAATGAGTTCGGTATTATCCGAGTTTAATATCTCTAGACCCAGGGAGTTCTCGTAATCAGGCCCAGTTTTTGGTCAGGGCTAATGCCCGTTTGTTAAAACCCGTAACTTTTAAGACTGGAATTAAGACAGAATACTATTATCCTCGTTGCCAAACAGACAAACAAGAAGGGCAAAGACCAAAAACAGAGAGAGAGAGAGAGAGACCATAGTCATATAACTAAAGGGAGAATCTGCTTAGAACTGAAACTAACCTTACAAAAACATAAAAACTGGTAAACGTAAGTGAGACGTAGAATACAAGCATAAAATGCCTTTTGTCTCACTTTGTTCCAGAGTAGATAGATACCACAAAATCAAAAGAGTTCAAAACTTAAAATAGCACCATAACACAAACCCATCTCATTCCTCATCATCCTCACTGTCTTTGTTCTTCTTCTTCTTATCCTTCTTTTTCTTTTTCTTCTCACTCTTCTCATCTTCTGAGTCAACAGCAGCTTCTGTGTCTTTACTCTTCTTTTTCTTCTTCTTCTCAGACTTTGGCGAAGCTACCTCTTCTTTAACCTCTTCCTTCTTATCTTTCTTCTTCTTCTTTTCCTTCTTCTCAGACCCAACTTCTTCTTCTTTCTCCTCTCCCTTATCCTTCTTCTTCTTCTTCTTAGAAGACTTCACCTTCTCTTCAGACTCGTCTCCTTCAACTTCTTTGGTTTTAGATTTCTTGGTTGATACAGGAGCAGGGCTATCACTGCTATCATCATGCTTACGCTTACGCACTTCCCCTGCTTCTCCATTCTCAGCCTCAGCCTTTATCTCCACAGGAGCAGCAGCAGCACCAGCAATAATAGCATCTCCACCGGTAGGCAAAACCACATTCCTGCTCCACTCAACCGGAGTTTTCTCATTAGGCTTCCCGTGCTTATCCAATTTCCCATCAGCAATTAGCTTCTTCTTCATCGAAGCCCTTGGTCCCAATCCCCACTTCCTTGGGTAAGTATCTCTATCCATCACCACACGTTTGATCTTAGCTACCACACCGTGATCACAAGTAGCCATCACAGATGTCGTCATCTCAGCAATCCCAACAGCAATCGCCTCACCCTTGGTCGTCATAAGAACGACTTCAGTACCAACATCAATGTCATTCTCGAATCTCAGCAACCCGGGAATCATCAACTTAGCACCATAACAGATAGCATTCACAGCAGAATCCTTGACAACAAGTCTCTTGTAACTCGTCAATATCATCTCAAGAGGCATAATCACCCTCCTAAGATAAGACTCATCCCTGGAATTGTCATACACAAACTGGGCATCCATCACATCATGCATAGTAACCATGTTATTATTCTCACCCAAAATCCCAGACCTAACCCTCCTAAGCTCCTGCATATGCCCACCAACCCCAAGAAGCAAACCCAAGTGAACACACATTGTCCTAATGTAAGTACCCGCCTCACAAGAAACCCAGAAAACAACCAAATGCCTATCAGCATCATACTCAAGCAGCTTGCTTTCATAGATTGTCCTAATCCTAAGCTGTCTTTTAACAGCAGAGATCAAAGGAGGCCTCTGAAACACAGCTCCAGTGAGCGATTCAAGAGCTCTAGCCACTTTAGCAACATCAGGGACAGCAGAGTGAAGCCGAGCAACACAAACGTACTCTTTACCCGCACCTTGCTGCGATTTCACAAGCCGAGTGGCTCGGTCAATACAGACAATGAGGTTTCCAGTGACTTTCGGGTCAAGAGTACCACTGTGACCTGTTTTCTCGACACGGAGGATACGCTTAATCCAAGCAACGACTTCGTGAGAAGAAGGGTTCGCGGGTTTATCAAGATTGATGACACCGTACCTGATATACTCTTGAAGAGGACGCTTGAGAGGAGAGTAACCGGCGCTGATTGGAGTGTAGTGACCGGTACGGACGTTGAGGAGGTCGTAGTTCTTGAGGAGGATGGGCCACTGAGAAGTGTCGATGGCGGGAGTGAAGCTCTGTGGCTTGATCATGTAGTCTCCGGTGTCGGCGGCATCGTTCTCCGTCTTGCCTTGCTTCTTCTTCTCCGAGTGTGAGATTTCGACCTCCGCCATGGCTCCGGCTGGATTAGGGTTTTGAAAAATGGAGGAGGAGGCGTGAAAAGTTGTAGCGGAGGAAGGAGACGACTGATTGGTAATTTATAAAGGACTAGGGTTTTTTAGGGTTTTAGGTGACAGTGATGACATTGGAAAGCTTGAAGGTATTCCTTATTGGGCTTGAGTTGGGTTTCTTTTGTTTTTATTGGGCTTTCATACAAGTTCAGTTCGTTTAATGCCCAAATAAAAGAGGTCCATATACGGGAGAAAAGTTTGAATGTCAACTTTTGTATAAGTGAAGACCTTTCATAGTTGAAAGTAAATGATAAAATATAAGCCTTTTATAGTAGATAATTAAGGTTCTCTTTTGATACGAAACAATTGAATGTTGTTTTGGTTAGAATTTTCACAATCGCATGACCCATGATGAAAGGTTTATATATATATAATATGATCGCTGATCATGATACAAGTCTATTATTGCGGTCTCATACTAACAAAACTGCTTATATAGTCAGAAGTATTGATTGGTCACTTTAACCTAATGAAGCATGAATAACGCCTCGTGCTAAATATATTTAGAGTCGACGTCTGTCTCTTTTGAGTAACAAGAAGACAATCCTTATATTATTAAAACCAAGTTTTTTTTTTTTTTTTTGATAACCAGTATTAAAACCAAGTTTTGACCACAGAAAAGTTAAATATGGAAGAATATAATATAGTTAGAGTATACTCTCTTTTGCCACATGCTCTAAGTTTTCGCATTAGGTAAAGTCAGCTCTCTGGCTCTCTCTCTCTCTCTTTTTGCCAATAAATAGTCGCTTAACAAACAAACAAGTTTTCTTCAAACCTAAAACTCACAAAAGAGAAAACACTTAGCTCACGTAGGAAATGGCCGGACTTCAATACAGTTTCTTCCCGACCGACTTCTTCTACCCACGAGCTTCTCCTCCGGCTACAACAAGCCTTGTAGCCACCAATCCGAAACTAGAGAAAATCCAAAAGAGAGATGGTTTAGTAGTGATTGATGAAACTCGTGCTTCTTTGTCTCTGTTTATACGTGAAAAGAAGACTAATCAGTCACAAACATGGAAGAAGAAGCCACTTTGGATCGAAGATGACATGTGATATATATTTTTGATAGATCTGGTTTTTGTCGTAGCTCTATAATAAATTAAGCTACAATTCTCATTTCTCATTTTTAATTTTGGAGTCGAGTTTTGAGTAGAGTTAGCTTTCAAGGGTATATCAGGATTGGCTGTTATTAAAGGCTGACCTTAACCCAAAAATAAAACAGAGTGTTTTCTAGATTTTAAAAAGCCTCTATGTGCTTGTGTGGATCGTGTCTTCTTGTAATTCCAGTGTCTATCATATTCAATGCAATATTATATTGGCTATGAATTTGTTCTTATCGTCTTTCTATCGTTGCCTTACCGTTTCTTGGCTATGAATTTTGGTATTAAAAAGATCATACTTAATAATACAGTGCAACATTAGATGAAGCTAGGAAGAAAAAGCAGAGGTAACTAATAAAGAGCAACTTTGCATAAAAAGGATGTTCAATTGGGTCTCCCAACCATTTACATTCCCATTGGCAAAATCCAAACAATCTAATAAGAGAAACGACGACAACACAAGTCTATTTTATGATTCAGCAGAAAAGAAACAAAAGAGAGAATAAGATGAGATCATCGGTGAACCAATTTGACAGCTTCAAGCAGAGACTTCACTCAGAAGCAAGCGTCCAAGACACAGCAACAACACAGAGCAGCAAGACTGCAAAAGCAAATCACCATTCTCAGTCAAATTAACTATACGTCAAATATATTAAAACAATAGCTCATGTAACAAAAACATGTTTTAGCCATATAACCTTACGGTAGCAAGTGAAAATATGCAAAATGACAAACCCAATCTGCTATAGTTTCTCAATGTAGGACTAAATACTATTAGGCAGATTACTCCACAAAGAGATAAAGAAAACAAACTTCTGACTAATGAAGACATATATATATGACAAAAAATGAAAAACATTGGTAGAAGAACGATATGAGATGGAGCAAATAACTTACCATCCTTCAAGCATACCAGGACTGTGATGCTGCTGCTGTTGTTGTTGGGGAGGAGGATAACCTTGCTGAGGATAGCCCTGCGGAGGATAACCTTGCTGAGGATAGGGTTGTCCCGGAGGTGGATAAGCGTCGACCTTGGGTGGATAAGCGTCTTTCGGTGGTCCTTCCGCCGGATAACCTATTCAGATCGACATATAGGTTACGGACTCAGATCCATCGAAGCAGAACACACGAATTTCGAAATCAAACTCAGATCTAAACAACAGTTTGGAGAAGTATAGTTGAAAAAACTCAAAATCTTAAACCAAAAACAAAGAGAAGTGAGATATCATAATTCATTATCAAAAGCAGAAGAGTTAGGAGCGACCTTGAGAAGGAGGAACACCAACAGCAGGAGGTTGACTCATTGTAGTCTTCTTTTTCTTCGTTACTTTGGAAGATGCAACAGAGAAAAAGTGGGGAAGAAGAGGAGAAGGAAAAGCGCGTCTTACTTGTAGCCGAATTTAGGTTTTTTCCTAACGGTTATCCTATCAATTCTAGCCACGTTTATTAGTCAACCTTTTTTTTTTTTTGGGAAGAGAATCCAGAATCAATTCCCTATAAGATATTGTTACATTTATCTTTTAACTATTAATTACATTAATTTATTTTGGAAGGATTTTTTTACTATATTTTAGATATCAATTGCATGATGTTAAGATATTAATTACATTTATTTATTTCTTCTCATATTCCACAACTTTTAAAGAAAATCAGAAAACAACAAAATATTTAATTCATTAATATATATTTTGACACGTAACCAAATTTCATATTAGATGAAACCAAAAGATTTACAACCAGAGATAAAGCTGATGAACAAATCAAGGAAAAAGGGCCAAATATTAAAAAAAGGACTCCATGTTTTCCAATGTTAACGATTCACACCCTAGTGATCACAGTGCCTTGTGGAGTTAAATTAAAACGCTACTAGAAGATCAATTGGAGAATTCACCATTTGCCATTGATGAGATGATGGAATTATGGCATAGGATCCAGTACTGTCTCAATGGCATGTGGATCCATGGCCTTGGAGGAGGGAGATCGAGCCCCAGTTTTGATGGCATTCTGGAAGAACGAGAGAAGGTAAATCATTTTGAAATGAGAGAGATAAAAGGACTCAAATTTGTGATCAAGATCATATCAATTCACCTTTTCCCACTGAGGACTCCCCGAGCTGATGTTGTCAGAGAAGAAGCTGATATTCCTGAAAATATTGTTGTATAGTGAGGCAAAAGAATCTGTCCTGCAATTTTGTTCATATAAATGTCAGCAAGATTGAATACCAAACAAAAGCATAACAAAGCATCTAGATTAACTTGTCATTTGACTTAGAAACAGCCAGAAGTTCACCTAAGGTTAAAAAATTGCTGCGAAGGTTGGAAACTATTAGATCAGGAGTATCATGTTCTTCTAGTAGACTTTTGGAGTCTGCATCTTCGAGGATATGCTCTCTATAGTGTTCCATTTCAAACCAAACACCACAAGGGAATCGTTTACGTCTGACAAGCCAAATCAAAACCTCTGCATATGGTGTTGCATGGATGACGGAGATGGCGAATTCAATCAACATACATATGGAGTTGATTGTAGTGCTCGTAATGGTGAAAAAGATGTAGAAAACTGATGTTGTTGGCAAGAGAAGTAGAAGAGGAGTGAACAGAAGAGATCCCACTACATGTTGCTTCACAGTGTAACCATAGCTGTCCAGCCTTTGACGTAGAGGATTCAATTTCCGCCCTCTGGAAGAACAAAGAAGAAGTCAATATATGGTTTAAGGAACTGAGATGAACAATAAATACTTGGAATTTTCCTTGGATTAAAGAACTTCAAAAAGAAAACGGAAAAATTATTGCATGTCTCCTGCTTTTACAATTAAGAAACCAAGAAACTGATTCACCTGAGTATTATTATCAGCTTAATGAATGAACTCAGCTAATTTTAAAACTCAAAATTTACCTGAAAAGCCTCCACAAAGCTGCTAAAGCTTGAATTTGGTGAGAATATACAAGTGTGATTCCCCAGTGAAGAGCCATTATATGAAGTGTTGCAAAAGTAATAACATCTATGACAAATGCGGCAGATACTGTGGCACCAAAAGTAATTCCAAGGATAGCAATTACTCTTATCAAATAAAAGATGAAAGAAGCCATGAAGACCCAGAGAGTAGACCATATCTGTATTACATTAAGAGATACCATGCCTAAAACTCCAGCCAATTCTGTGTTTAACTTAAAACCCGCTGGAACTCCCATCAACCACACACTACCAGACCGCAAAATACCATTCGTAAACTCCTTTGCAAAGTCGAATACAAATGAGCAGACAGATTCGGTGTTAAACAGTAGACCTAGACCAATCAAATTCCCCAAAACAAGATCAACAGCCATGGCCGACCATGTAGAATGTCTTTGCAGTGCAGCTTTCTCTGCATGTTCCACACAGGATATGGACCTTGTGAAACCCAGAAGAATTGTCATAAATCAATAATCGTGTGAAACTTAGCAGAAGAATGAGAAATGCATTGCATAAAGGTATCTGGAATTAATCTTTATTATTTCCAGAGATTCGTAAATAAGCAGTTGTTGTTAAGAAAAAAAAAATGAAGATGCAATTTTGAGCCAAGGGCAAACAGGAAAGGTTTACAAATTTAACTAAAGAAGTAAATTTGGGTATATGGTTGAACTTACATCATACCATTCTCTTCAAGGAAGATTGGCCAATATAAGATCTGACAACTGCGTATTCTGAAGTTGACCCATGTATTCTTGAGTACCCTCCTCGATGCGATGTGCACCCATGAGAAAATCGGAAAACTTGAAAGTAAATAGAAGAATTGGGCAAGGCTATAATACAGACTTGATATAGAGCCTAAAATTGTGGCGAGTAACCGCCATGTCAAAGAAGATATCCTGAAAAGCAAGGTAGAAGCAGTTGGAACTTGGAACAACTAACAACACTTGGAACAACTAACAACAAAGAAAAAACGAATTCAACAAGGCAAACAAAATATCACGAGAGCTTACAAGTAAGAAATGGAAAAGTTCTGAGAAGAAGTCTCCAGCTGCGTGGAAATCTTCTTATAGGCAATCTTGGCAGCTGAGGCGCAATTTATGGAAAGAATCACAGTTTCCTGCTTACATAAGAATGAGAGAATATTAGCAACAAGTCGAGAAAGAAACAACACAACAAAGAGAAGCATTTTGGAAACTACTAAACCATTTCATTCAGAGGTTTCCTGTTGTGAAGATCATCAACCCACTTGGGTTTCTTAAGAGGAGCTTTTGTCTGAGGAGAAGAATTCCAAAAGCTTAACGAGAAATGGTGAGAACCAAACACTGGAGTGTCATAGACTATGACCTAACATGTCCATGTTTAAGGGAGTCAAATACTGGCAGCGTGTAGGTTCAGAAAAGAATAATACAAGAGAAAGACATCATGACTTACATACGTGGACATCGCATTGAGATACAATCTCCCCATTCCAGTGTATATGATGCAATCTAGAACTTGAATGGAGTTCCATAATTCTATGCTCTGCAGAATCACGCACCATTTGAATCCAGTAATTTCTCTTAGAATCTTTCCTGAAATCCTCTAATAAGCCATCAACCCTTTGACAACCACAGCTGAGGCCACTATATTTGCAATAAGCTCCAGCCTTGCTGCACATATCTTTGTCTGTTATAATCTTTGATACGTTTCCATTAGCATTACGGCTTATATCACAACGACCAAGGAGAGTAAACGCTGCCTTATCCCGTAAAGTTGAGGGCATCTTCTCATTTGTTTCACGAAGTACGTCCTGTTGGAAATCACAAAGGAAAAAATGTCGCATACTTGCTAAAGAAAAGGGTAGGTACAACAAATTCGAAACAAGATGGAAAAAAAAGAATTATTTTTGTTGAAGTGAAGTTATTACTTGGAGCTTAGATCCGGCATTGGACAAGGAGCTTTCATCAGAGATAAAGGCCACAACAACGTCAAGACAAGAAGAGGACTGGCAAAGGAACCACCCAAACAATAGACTGTGACTCAAATCATCAGTTGTTGCGAGCTGCTTAGGCAACCAAATCCTACATTTTCTCTTCATTTGAGCTCTCTGCCACACAATTCCCAAAATGCAAAACGAAAGAGAACAACATATCAACAAGAATTGGAGACAAGCATTTGAAAATGTGAACATAATACAAGAGTCAATACCAAAAAAAGAGAGAGAGAGTAATTGATCGATCTAAGAACACGCAACTTCAATGTGAGCTAGAGAACTATGTAAGTAAAGTAAAATCAATAAAACCCCAGAAGAATACTCGCAGGAGTATCAACTACTACAAGGCAATTGACGATGGGAAAGATGAACCGAGATTCATAAAACAAATCTGAACCCTAGAAAATTCTTCAATTCAACTTAATTTCGATGCTAGTCTAATCACGAAAAGACGAACCTCGTGTTTCAGGAGAGAAGATAGTCTAGAGCCGACCCTTAGTTCAGCAACCGGAAGAAAGATACATTCCGGCGACGACATCAACGGCGACAAAGGGAAGACATGGATATTTTCACTATGGGCCGGGCTTTTCTTAATAACGAGGTTCACTGGATTAAATAAATATTAATTTAACCAACATTTTGTTCTTTATTTTTTTTTTGTTACATACAGTCATACAGTTTTAGACTTTTACTGGATTTATGATTTCTAGATTCTAATCCTAGATTAAGACTGTAGTTTAGTAATAAAAGCTAAGGATTTTTTTTTTTTTGTTAAAAATAAAAGCTAAGGATGTTAACAAATGCTTGAAGATTTCTTAGTTAAAAGTTAAAACATACAAAGACACAAAATCTTAAGTGTAGTTAGCTTATTTGATAATCCATACTAAAATCATAAAATGAATTAAAAAAAAAAAAGAATCGATGTGGCTTTAAAAATGGTTTAAAATACACAAACCAATATAAACTTTCCAAAATGACTACACTGATGAAAGCTAATCTGTAACTTGTATTGTATCGGCAGGACTAGATCTTAATCTCTCTTATATAAGTCCATACAGGTTATTATGAAACAATATCAGAGAGAAAATCTGTGCTGTCTTGTTGCTTCTTCCTCCTACGAGCATCATCAAGCTTACTAGAATGCGTTCCAAGCACTTCGGTGATGGCTTTTGGCAACCAGAAGCCAGGCCGCTCAAGAAATGGTGCACGGTCAATAACCAACGGTTCTCTCAAGGTTACATCAATCCCCTGATAAGTCCATAATGCTAGTGTTGCTGCACCTTTGAGACCAAGGGATAACCAGCCAAGACCAGCCACTGAAATGTCTATGCTTTTCACGTCCCAGCTATTTCCCGACACCTGAATCTCCTTCTCTTCCCATGTTCCCAATTCAGACGCTCTATTCTCTCCAATCGGTGGCTATACATAAAAGGAAAATGGGTTTCCTTTACATTCTGATGTTGCGGAAAAGAGGAGATGCGCAAGAGACAAGCTTTACTTACCTGAAGGCGTAAACCGGAATGGCCCTTGAATATTTCTTCGGCATTCTCTGTTTTTCCTAGATGCAATGAAACACTATGTGATGCCCATATTGTAATGTATATTGTTTCAACTGAAGCAGAAACGAGGTCTAGCCTGACCAAGCCACCAATGTGAACAGACTGTCCTGCCTGCAAATAAAAGATTCAACAAAATCAGCTTCATTCTTGGAATAAGAAATTCTTCTACTTAAAGCTGTAAAATAGTTCAAGTCAATTCTTCTTGGAACAGTTTACTGGTTGAAAGAAGCTCCAGAGTTTAGAACTTTAGAGATTAAGTCATCAATTCCAAAACCAAAAGCTTAGAAAAACTGCTTAGATATAAGTAAGAGAGAGCTTGCCTTGACTCTGTAACTCCGAGGTTGAAGCTCCTTCCTTATCTCTACCATTTTCCGCTCCTCTGGATTCAATCTCAGGGACATAAGGTAGGGATGCAAAAGGCCGGGAGTGTCATACATCTTAGCCTTTGCAGACAATATTCCACCAATTCTCAATATTCCAAGAGTTGTTCCAGGAACCGGAGCTTCCGTGAGCCTCGTGACCTTTGCACCATCTTTCTTGGATAAGGCATTAATCAAAGTAGATTTCCCCGCATTCTGAGCTCCAATAACCCACACGTTTCCTCTTGGACCAGCCAACTCTTTAATGTACGCTAACAGATTCTTAACACCAAGATCTTTGCGAGCACTAACCATATAAACCCCACTCAGCTTAGGCGCTCCTCCAGCCTTGGCACGGTGGCGCACCCATCGGTCTAACCGAGCTGGTGAAATCTGTGTAGGAAGTAAGTCTACTTTTGTTGCAACAAGCACAAGTTTTGGGAGGTTTTTGCTACCCTTAGGATCATTTTCAGCTTTTTGAAGCACTTGAAACAGAGACTTGGCTGCTCGTTTGGGAAACGAACCATCAAAGTCGACACAATCAACAACCATGACTACAACTGTAGTGCTGGAATTACTCATCGGTTTGATCAGTCTAGTTGATATCAACCTGTCAAAATCGAAATCTGGTAAGAGGTTCTCTGCAGCCTGATTCTTCACCTGGCCATAATTCCTCAAAGAATGGCAACGAGCACACACCGTCACATCATCATAATTGTCTTTCTTTGCCTCTTCTCTAGCTATCTTCTTCCTCTCTGTTTTCGAAACCCGTTTCTTCTTTTCTTTCTCCTCAGTGACATTACCATATCCAACACCAGCCGGAGCAAAACCATCCAATTCAACATCATTCACTTCCTCCTTGTCTTCCCACTCATCTGATTCCCAGTCAAACTGACTCTCACTTTCAGAGTTGCTACCTTCCATTGCATTCTTGATCTCATCATCCATTTCATCATCTTCCTCCTCCTCCTCCAACTCATCATCATCAACCATTTCAAACCCATCAAGCTCATCTTCTTCCTCCTCTTCATCAACTTCCAAGTTCTTTGCAATGACCTTTCTCTTCTGATAAAATCCAGGCAAATCGGGATCGTTGTCCTGCATAAAAATCCCACAACCTGGACAAATAATCTTCCCATACTCCTCATCTTCATCTTTTCCTTCGCTCATGATAAGATTTTTTGATTTCTTCGGAAAAATCGTCCCTTTAACACTCTCTACGCTTTGAACAACTTGTTCTTTCTTCACAGCTAAACACGTAACCAAAACTGCACATTTCTTCTTCTTCTTCTCATCACTCAAGCCTAGTGAAAAGTTGAGTACTTTCTCAGATACCCATCACGAAAACGAGAAACTTGGTCCGAATTTCAGCGAAAGGAAAAGAAAATTTACCTGAGAAAAATGGAACTTCGGGTCTGGGTATCAAACGGCTAACGCGAAAGCTTCCGTCTTCAAGCTTTGGTTTTACTCTGCAAATCGTCACTGTACTTGAAATCAAAACCACCATTTCGTTTGAGAGTGTGTCACTTCTTCTGAATTGAGATGATATCGCGCCGAAAATTTGCCGGGATAAGCAATTCCGTCGAAAGGATAGTCAGAGAGAATTAAAACGCAGCGTATTGGCTCGAACCTTACTTCTTCAATTCTTCACTCTAAACCCTACAGATAATTACGTAAATGCCCTCCTACTCAGAGGAAACGTCGACAAAGAGACAGAGCGTAAAACACTGATTACTCCGAGAATCAATTATCTAATGATCGTATAAGTTATGCAAATTCGGTTTTGTTGATTCTCTGTGTCTATGTGACTAACCTTTATGAGAATGAAGGAGAGTTAGTTACGTGGAAGACATTAGAGACTCAAATTTTAAAACAGAGTCTTAAAGGATAAGGTTATGGTCCTCGTGGAGACCCATCACGCGGACAAGAAACGAAGCTTAAACCCCGTTTGATACTTTAGTCGGAGCTCCGGTGAAAAAAATGGCGGCAAAGATTACTGGTGGAGGCTGCTCATGGCGACGCTTTGACAGGAAGAGAACACCATCTCGATTTCTGATATTCTCTGTTCGAGCCTCTAGTTCCATGGATGATATGGACACAGTCTACAAGCAATTGGGTATGTCTCTGTTGAGTTTTTAGGTGAAGCAAATTAGTAAATTTGGAACTGGGTTTAGGAAATTTGTTATTTATACAGATTAAAGTTGAGAGCTTTATGAGTTTGAAAAGTTGGTATATTTGTGAGTTTTTGAAATTTGTCTCAGGATTGTTTTCACTAAAGAAGAAGATTAAAGATGTTGTTCTTAAGGCTGAGATGTTTGCACCGGATGCTCTTGAGCTTGAAGAAGAGCAATGGATAAAGCAAGAAGAAACAATGCGTTACTATGATTTATGGGATGATCCAGCTAAATCTGATGAGATTCTTCTCAAATTAGCTGATCGAGCAAAAACAGTTGATTCTCTCAAAGACCTCAAATACAAGGTTCTTTTTGTTTACTCGTAACAAATCTTCTTGTTTTTTTTGGTTGAAAGAGATTTAGTTTTTAATTATGTGTTTTATTTAGGCAGAAGAAGCTAAGCTAATCATACAATTGGGTGAGATGGATGCTATAGATTACAGTCTCTTTGAGCAAGCTTACGATTCATCGCTCGATGTAAGCAGATCTTTGCATCACTATGAGATGTCTAAGCTTCTTACGGATCAATATGATGCTGAAGGCGCTTGTATGATTATCAAGTCTGGATCTCAAGACGCAAAATCTCAGGTCAGTTTCATCATTCTCAAGGCACTTACAGTCTCCAACTCTTTGCTTGTATCTTAGTTTCTGTATGTTCGTTCTTACACTCATTTTGAGGATTTGCAGATATGGACAGAGCAAGTTGTAAGTATGTATATCAAATGGGCAGAAAAGCTAGGCCAAAACGCGAGAGTGGCTGAGAAATGTAGCTTCTTGAGCAATAAAAGTGGTGTAAATTCAGCCACAATAGAGTTTGAATTCGACTTTGCTTATGGTTATCTCTTAGGTGAGCGAGGCGTGCACCGCCTTATCATAAGTTCCACTTCTAGTGAGGTATACATTATAAGTTGTAACTCCTCTTTCTCGTAATCAATCACTTTCTTGTCCATTTTCATGCCCCGGGAAAGAATTAAAAAGATGTTTTCTTTGCGCCAGGAATGTTCAGCGACTGTTGATATCATACCGCTATTCTTGAGAGCATCTCCTGATTTTGAAGTAAAGGAAGATGATTTGATTGTTTCGTATCCTGCAAAAGAGAACCATAAAATAGCTGAGAATATGGTTAGTATTCAACATATACCGAGTGGAATAACTGTTGAATCGTCAGGTATGATCGAGTATATTACACTTCAGTTTACTGCATTTTATGCAGATTATAATACAAGGTTTTTGATGCAGGAGAAAGAAACCGGTTTGCAAACAGGATCAAAGCGCTAAACCGGTTAAAGGCGAAGCTGCTTGTGATAGCAAAAGAGCAAAAAATTTCGGATGTAAATAAAATAAACAGCAAGAACATTTTGAAACCATGGGAAGAAACCAGGAGATATGTCTCTAAGGGTCAAAAGATGGTGGTTGATACAAAAACCGGTTTAGAGATTCTGGACCTCAAATCGGTCTTGGATGGGAACATTGGACCACTCCTTGGAGCTCATATTAGCATGAGAAGATCAATTGATGCGATTTAGGCTTAATCAATTGGTACTTTAACTGTGTTTTTTTTTTGTATCCAAAGCAACAAATGGTTGCTTATGTGTGTGTGTACATAGCCTTCTATAATTTTTTTGTCCAGAACAATATATGATATTTCTAACCATCAAATAAAGTCAGAATTGATGACTATGTGCGATTGTCAAATCCGGTTTGAGATCATTATTTTGGTTTTTGTTTTCAAATAATTTGCTGTCCACAATATCACCATGAAAACTTCAAAGTTCAAACTATCTACTTCTTTTGATAAATTTCGAAACGGTTTTACCAATTAGACCAAAACCATGAAACTCTTGTTTTAATTGTCAGAATCGAGAAAGTCATATACAGAGACCTAAAAGCTGATGCAATACTGTCGTGTCACGTTGATTACAATCTCGAGTTATTATTTTGATTAGCCTATTGTTACGAAAAAGTAAATAAATTAGGGTTTGGCAGAAAACTCTATAATATGTTGTAGAGTTTGGCAGAAACTTTAATTACTATCAAATCTCCTAAGATTAGTAAAATCTAATTTACTTTACGTAATTATTTTGTCTGTTTGCCTTAAACTTAAATGCATTTTCTCAGCTAACTTGAAATTAAAAGTTCGTTGGATTCGTATTCAAAAGTTTTTTAAAAAATTCTAATTTATTGTTTACTAAAGTTTTCTATGGGCATTTAAGTATTTTGAATTTAAAGTTATCAACTTTTGGCTACATTACAATACACAATTTTTTTTTTTGAACAAACATTATAAAACACAATTAAGATTTTGGGAAATGCTCAAAACTACATCTCTTATAATGTAACAAAAGTCGCTCGTGAGTAGACCAGTCGAAATTTGACACGTAACTTGTAAGCCGAAAAATATAAAATTAAAATACTATAACGATATATATATATATATATATATATATTAATCTAAGAATGTTTGAACTTATAAATAATTCATTGATTTATCGTGATTATTTGTCTAGTTATATCAACATTTGACATAATTTTATATAATAAATGAATTCAGTTTAGAAGAGGAAGAAAAACCTAATTAATTAATGATATGGGATATATTATTTTATTTTATCATTCTAATTTTATTGGATGTATTATCGATATATACATATATATATAATCTTCATTCCACAAAAAAAAAAGGAAATGTTTTTTTTTTGTCAATAAGAAAAAGAAAATAGTTGCCCAAAAAAAGGAAATTATATTTGTGATAAAATAGGAAGAAAATAAGAAGAAAATGCCAACAGACAAACGGCTCCGTCACCAAATTGACGAGACTCTCTCCTTTCAAACTCTTCTTTTCAGTTTCAACTTCTTCGTCTCCCTCCCACACCACACCAACTCTATATATCTTCTTCTTCTTCTTCTATGCCTCTGGCGTTTTTCTCTCATGGCGGGTCTATACTCCTCGAAGCCCACTGTGTCGTCTTCTCCTTCTTCTTCTTCTTCAACATCATCATCATCTTACTCGCGTCTTTTCTTGCTCGTGACGCTTCTTCCTCTCTCTCTCGCCTGTCTCGCCTTCGTTCTCCAATGGCGTGGCGGACTCGACGACCCGGTTACGCGTTGGTCAATAGATCATCACGAGTTTCCCGGAATGGTTACAACCCAAGAGAAACGGTCCTTGCGTCGTTCAGTTTCTGATTCGGGTTGCGTTGATCTTCTAGGTCAGAGTCGTGCCCCTTCGTTTCCTTATTTCCGGAATTGGAAATTTGATTACGACTCGGATCTGAAACCTAGGGTAAGCAAGCCCTTTCTGATCCAATTTTGGGTTTTCCTGAATTTGATTTTATTGCCATATATCGTTGATTCTTGGTACTTTGATTCCTGAAAAATCTCTGGTTACTTTTGTCTCTGGCCTGAGATTTGATTTGAATCCTGCAGGAAAACTTGTGATTATAAAAAAGATTGTGACTTTGTGCAAAAATGTGTTTTTGTTTTATGAATTTATTTATGCTAGATATGCATTACAACAAGCACTTCTGCTGGCTTAGAGCAAACACTGCCATGGATTTACTTTCACAAAGTTATTGGAGTTTCAACATTTTATCTATTTGTTGAGGGGAAGGCTGCATCTCCAAATGTGTCTCGAGTTTTGGAGACCATCCCTGTAAGCTATTGAGCTTTTGCCTGATCCATTGATTTGTTTTTCTGACTCAGTATCTTCTTATTGCTAATGCGTTTTGTTTTGCAGGGTGTAAAAGTTATACACAGGACAAAAGAGTTGGAAGAAAAACAGGCTAAAAGGTATTTCTCTGGTCTGCATCTTTGTGGATATTGGTAATAATAGATCTGCTGTGACTTCATTGAAATTTTGTTCCTTTCCTTTAGATCTAAAAATCCACCAATGTGTTTTTCAACAGCCGGATTTGGAATGAGACTTGGCTGTCGAGCTTCTTCTACAAACCGTGTAACTATGAATTATTCGTGAAACAGTCCTTGAACATGGAAATGGCAATCACCATGGCTCAGGTATCTCTTACATTTTCCATAGTTGTTGCATACGGTTTGTGGTAATAGCACTAGATAAAGTAAAAAAGCCAACTGTCTCTTAGACTCTCACGCCATTTTATGCGGTGTATTTAGGATGCTGGTATGGAATGGATAATTCATCTTGACACCGATGAGCTTATACATCCTTCTGGAACCCATGAATATTCTTTACGGAAGTTGCTGGGAAATATTTCTGCAGACGTGGATATAGTTATCTTTCCAAATTATGTGAGTCTTACAGGAGTTAGGATTTCATTTTTTTCTGAAAAATGCTTCTTCTGGCTTCATCAGCATTGTCTGTGTTTCAGGAGAGCAGCGTTGAGCGAGATGATATCAGGGAACCTTTTAGCGAGGTATAAAAATTATCATCTGAAGCTATTTTTCTCACATGAGAAATTGATCACATGATTGTTTACCTACCATAGGTACATTATTATCTTTATAGATCATTAGATCTAAAACCTACTTCTTTATTTGCTGTACATTCATTTTATTGTAGGTATCAATGTTCAAGAAGAATTATGACCATCTTCTGAGAGATGTCTACTTTGGAAACTATAAAGACGCCACTCGTGGAAATCCAAACTATTTCCTAACCTATGGAAATGGGAAAGCTGCTGCCCGTGTTCAGGACCATCTTCGTCCCAATGGTGCTCATCGATGGCACAACTACAGAAAGAGTCCAAAGTATGCTCTTTTCTCGTTAAATTGTATATCCTTTGACTCTTTGTATTTGGCATCGCTTCCCCATGTTTATCATATGTTAGATTCTAGTGCGGTTTATTCAATAGAAGCTTATAGTTGGACATGGATGAGCCTGAGGCTGTCAATATCAACTGTTTTGGGTTGCTGACTATTTTTTGGCTGATTCATGTCATATTTTTTACAGTGAGGTCAAACTAGAAGAAGCTGCCGTGCTGCACTACACTTATCCCAGATTTTCAGATCTTACTTCAAGACGTGATCGTTGTGGCTGTAAGCCCACTAAAGTGGATGTCAAGAGATGTTTCATGCTGGAGTTTGACAGAGCTGTGAGTGGAGATTTATATTTTTTCCTTTCTATTTCCTGCATCTTATTCCAAATATATAGTCACAGCTCTTGGCCATCACATGTAGGCATTTATTATTGCTTCAACCGCGAGTTCAGAGGAAATGCTTCAATGGTATCAATATAGATTTAAATATAATCACTGCTCTTCATCTCATTTTCCCCTGCTGCAATCTAACAAGCTTCACTAATACAGGTACAGAGAGCATGTTGTGTGGACTGATGAAAAATTGAAGTTGAAACTCCTTAGGAAGGGAATTCTGACCCGCATTTATGCTCCCATGGTTAGTTCCACAAACCCAAACCATGTTCTTTATTTGACATGAACGATCAGTGTTTGGTTTTCCACAAGCTATCATCTCTTACAGGTTATAATCCAAGAGCTAAGAGAAGCGGGTGTTTTTAGCTCTGTGGTAATCGCAGCTCACATGTCTCTCTCGAACAACCCTTCAACTGCTGATTCAACATCAGGCATTACCCGAGAATCATCTGAGGCAACTGGTAGGAGGAGGGTGTTGGAGTTCCATCTTGATTTTTGACGATGAATCTCAAGCATCAGCAGTACCACCTCAATCGCCTCCAGACTTGGAAGCAACCCAGATGGAACATTAATCTGAAATCTGAAAAGTGTTTACAAAGATTGGGATTTTTAGAATGATTAATGAACAGTTTTTGAACCTGAGCTCTGGTGTACATTTAGGAAAGATTTCGTTTAGGTTATACACACAGATGATTCTACAGATGAAGAGGAATATCATATAGCAGGCTAGTATCATATGTACCATGCAAAATACTTGATCATGTTGATGATTCTATAACTTCAAATACAATTTCATTGCCTTCCTGATCTGACTACTGGTTTTCTTTTGTGCTTTATTATCTTCATGTATCTCTAACTTCCTTTATTCAGGTCTATAGTTTTCCTGAAATGTGAAGTTTGGTTTCTGAACATCTTTAGCTTCTTATGGGTTCTGACTTCTGAGTAACTCAGCTGATGTTTCGAGTCCCAGTGTTTACAGCTTCATCTTGACTTAAACCTCACAGGAACTTAATGTTTCACAGCGAGAAAAGGAGCAACAATCTAGAAGAAGAGAAGTTAAGTCAAATTAGTAGCAGCCATCAACTTAGAGAAGGTTGTAGTTGATAAGTTTCACTTGTTCTAGTTATTTACTTGCGTTTAGTTTGGGTCTGAATCCTTTGATGGCTTTTTCCTTGTGTCAATGTTTTGGTATGTGTTTGAAGGCAGTGATGGTCATGGTGATAGGGGATGATGTGGGAAACTGTTGAAGATGATGATCATTATCAGGAAGTTGAGGCAGCAACACTAATGATCTCAACATTTGCTTCATTCACATCTGATGGGAAACACATTATCTCAACAATAGAAGACTCAGGCGTTTATGTTTGGGACTAACAAAAAGGCATCTTCTCAGAAACCAAAAACCATCAGATCTTATGTGGGATTACTCTCACAAAATGTGTCTTGCCTTGGCTAGGCCAGGGGAAGGAGGACAGTTTCATATCAGATTTGGGAAAAAAATGTTCCTGGCTCCCATGGACTATTTCTCTCCAATGAAAAGAGCAACAACAACGTGCCCAGAAGAGAAGCTTGGAGTAGTAGCAGGTGCGGCTGCAGCAGCGGTTTCAGCTACAGTCAGCAGCAGATCCATGTATGTTGTGGCTCTTAAGGAGTGTGTGCCAGAATGTTAATGGCTCTTCGCCTCACCTGTGGGGGCTTGTGATTGTGACAGCAACTTGGGACGGTAGGATCAGAGTGTTCCATAACTGCGTGTTACCAATTCGGGTCTAAAGACTCAAGCAGCTCGTGTAGATTTTAGAGTCTTGGCAGTGTTACTGCAGCATTCTTGGTGTTTGTTTTTGGTACTTGTATAGTATAACATATATTGTGTGTAGTACACTGGTTGTGAAAATACCGCTCTGATTTGAATTTGTCAACATATAAGAAAGCGATTTACCCGAGCCAGAGTTGAAGTCCTCTCGGATTGAAGACATAGAAAACCATACAAATTGCACAAAAAAACAATCCACTTAACAATCCAAATGCACCAAAGATAACTTAGTCGACCATCAAACATTATACATTAATACTTAGATAATCAAAGTTTGTGCACACATATGTTATTTATTGAAGCTGAAGACATTTAGAAAACCGCAAACACACAAATTTGCACAAAAACCAGTCCGCCAAGCCAAGCAAACGCCATGGTTTTTGTAAGCCTTGCGTCGTCAAAGTTTAGATATCGGCCATGGCTTGTGAACGCTTAAACGCCGTAACAGAAGTTTCACAATCAGACTCAGGAGTTTCACAATCAGAGTCATACCCTTTTTGGGTATACTTTCTGATGGCTGATTCTATGGATCTTGTTTTGCAAAGACGATGAGCCAAGCCAACACCATCGTTTGTGTAAGCACAGCGCCCCCGCCATGTGCGCCGTGATTTGCGAATTAAACGCCGAATTAAACGCCGAATTAAACGCCGTGACAGAAGCTTGCTACTCAGACTCGTATCCTTTTTTGGAATAATCTCTGAGCTCTGCTTTTCTGGAATAATCTCTGAGCTCTGCTTTTCTGGAATAATCTCTGAGCTCTGCTTTTCTGGAATAATCTCTGAGCTCTGATTCCAACCGTCGAGAATGAAGCATCCCGTAAGCTCATTGAATCTTCTTCTAACTACAGCAATGCGATCAAATTTCTGACCACAGCGAGCCACACAAGAGTCAATGTACCTTATGTAGACAGTTGCATTTTTGGCAGTGAGAGAGGACTCACTCGGTGGCTCCATAGTTTCTATGGCTACATTCACAATCTTCAAGTGGGAAAGATCATGATCCTTGCTGGTCCAATCAGATCTGGCAACAGAAAGTTCCAAATACAGACGAATCCAGTCATTGTCTTCCAGCTCTGATTCATCCACCAAGTAAAATCGGTTTTCGTTTTCGAAAGGATTCTCCTGCGGGAACTCAGGCAAGCTACCCATGGGACAGAATCTTCTTCCAGACGAATCTGTAGCTTTAGGGCCTAAATATAAAATGATGGATGAATTAGTAGTTGTAATAATGTATGTATACAAAAAAAATGAACCACAAGCAAGTAAGTCAAGTAATTACCTCGACGAGGTCTAGCAATAAAGGAGGTCAAAGCAAACTTGCCACAACATTCTTCATTAACGTTAGTCTGAAAATGAACAAGTTTTCCACTAGATGGATCCATTGCAACCAAAGTAATGTAGTAAGAGGCAGCAAGAGTCAGAGTCATGTTGTATCTCTTAACGTGAGAGATATCTAAGTTTGTCCCCTGATGATCGATCATCAGGAAAAGAAACTGAATAAGAGAAGGAGTGAATAAAGAAAGGAAGACAAGAGTTTTGAATGATTGTAACAAACCTACCTCAAGCAAATTGTAACGATGAAGGCCCATCCAAGCATAGAGGAATACTAAGCCACAACAAGGTGACTTTTGACTACAGTTCTTTCTCCTAAATCCAATACAACTCCCGACGTCGAACACCTAATCATTAAGATCCATCCATGATCAATCTCTTAAATCCCCTAATCGAAAAATCCAATCTCTTATATAAAAAGAAGATGAAAGGGAAAATTACCCCATATTTCTCCAAGGATTCCCTAGTGCCCTTCACCGCACGTTCATGAGCCTTCCTACCAAATTCGGTACCTTGAAACCGCAGAAACATTGTCTCTGGATCCAAATTTCGTCGGATGCTCTTTGTGGTCGATTTTAGGTTTTCTTGTGCCACACGACTGATTGATCCGGCTGACTCACTTCTGGGCTCCTGTTGGGCTTCACAACCCTTACTTAATGCCCTTTCCTTTTATTGTTGCAATCTTTTATCTCTTTCTTTTTTTCGGAACATCTTTAGCTTCTTATCATCTTAAGGGTTCTGCTTCTGGAGCAACAACCTTATGGTCGATGCTCTTTGTCCAGCATTATCCTGAAGAACAAATTTATCACTACTTTAGAATAAAATATCATTAGCTTATACAATTTGGATTTCGCCAAACTATACGTATGATTTACTCTTACTGCATTCTTTAATCTTGTTAACTTCTTTCTTACACTTTGATTAAAAAAAAAAAAAGATATTAGTAATTGAGCAATTTCACATGAATCCCATAGTTTATAAACTTTTTTGGCCTTAATTTTTTCCTTCTTTTTCACATGAAAAATAATTCTGAGGGGTGATACGGTGTCGTATTGTTTTAAAGTGGCAAGTTGTAATTGAATGCCTAGAGAGACTTGAAGCTTCAGCGAAAAGTCGAAGCAGCAAATCCAGAGGCGGGGAACCAAAGTAGCCAACGGATCCGTCATGGCAGCTCGTAAGAGAGCTTCTTCAGTCACTAAATCAGCGAAAACAGCTCCATCTGAACAGGCATCGTCCCCGACGGAGCTGAAGACTGTAGTTTCCGGCGAGGATTTCCGTCTCGCGCCGCCCAAATTGGGCGTGATCTTTGTGATCTCTTCGCTTCTGTGTTCGCTTTATCTCTACCTTCTCTGTTTCCACTATAATGTTGACAATGAGCTCAAGCGTCCGATCCTCATTAACGCTGGGCTTAGTTTGGTTGGGTTCTTTGTCACACTCAAATTGATTCCTGTAGCTGCTAGATACGTTCTGAGGCGTAACATGTTTGGTTTTGATATTAACAAAAGAGGCACTCCTCAAGGAGAAGTTAAAGTGTATGTCTTTCCTTCTTCGATTTGTCTCATTTCTTATTTAGGTTTCAAATTAGTATTAGTGTTCATCTTTTTGCTTGAAATGGATGTCTCTTAGATTTGATTTTTGTGGTGGAGGAAAACTATGAGCTGTCTCATTTTCTGATTGATGTTCCATGATGTTTAGGTTTGATTTGATCTCAGGGGAGATCTGAGTTCTGCTTTTGTGGTCGGCTTAAAGTGTTTTAATGTGCTTATTTTCTGCAATCTTATTTCTTTGTAGGCCTGAGTCATTGGGAATTGTTGTCGGTATTGTCTTCTTGATAGTGGCGATAGTATTTCAGTTCTTTAATTTCACTGAAGATTCGGTGGTAAGTGTTCTCAAAAGCTCAAGCTTGATCATTCTTTTTAAGTGAACTTGGCAGCTCTTGGCTCATTTACTTTGAACGCAATTCATCAATCTGGCTAAATGACTCGGTGCAGTGGCTTGTGGAGTATAATGCAGCACTGGCGTCTATTTGCTTCATGATTTTGCTTGGATTTGTAGATGACGTCCTTGATGTGCCTTGGAGAGTGTAGGTGCAGTTCTCATTTTGTTGGGTTAAATTCATGCTTTAGTTTTGTTCACTTATTAATTCTTGTTAATTCAATTTGCAGGAAACTTCTCTTGCCATCTTTTGCAACCCTTCCATTGTTGATGGCTTATGCTGGACATACAACTATCGTCATACCGAAACCTCTTGTTTCTTATATTGGCTTGGAAGTGTTTGATCTAGGTACAATTCTTCTTGTATATAGTGTTAAACCATCAGTAGCTGTTTTCAAATTGATTTCCTTAATTGTATTTTTATCTTGGCAGGACGAATATATAAGTTATATATGGCGCTACTAGCTGTCTTTTGCACAAATTCTATAAACATTCATGCTGGTTTGAATGGCCTAGAAATCGGTCAAACCGTAGTTATTGCAGCTGCTGTAAGTTCTGCACTCAAAATGCGTTGGAATGCTTCATTTTTTGCCCATTTTTCCTTCCATTGGTTTCTCTTAGGTAAAGATATGATGTATCTCAGTAACTTGTAGATTCTGATACACAACATTATGCAAATCGGAGTATCTGTTGATACTGAGTATCATCAAGCTCATGCCTTCTCAATCTATCTTACTCAGCCATTGATGGCAACATCCTTGGCAATGCTTGCCTACAATTGGTAATATTTTGATCTTTCGAGTCCTTTTCTCTTAAATCTATCAGGTAAACAAGCAAAGCAGAATGCTTTCTCTAACCGCATTCATGTGTTGTTAGGTACCCTTCTGCAGTTTTTGTTGGAGACACTTACACAGTCTTTGCTGGAATGACAATGGCAGTTGTTGGCATTCTCGGTCACTTCAGGTGTACTTCCAACCACACCGTCCTTACTTCCCTCTACTTAGATTCATTATTTACATTTAACTAATATGTGAGTCTTCAATAAACTAACTCCTGAAAATTTGCTTTTGCAGTGAAACCCTCTTAATCTTTTTTCTTCCTCAAGTGTTGAACTTTCTATTGTCGCTTCCGCAGGTTTGATTGCCTTTCTCCCTTTCTGTTACTTTCCAAATTCATGTCAAAGCATCTAATTTGCTATAGTGTAACTCTTCAGCTTGCTGGCATTGTGAAATGTCCACGACATCGTCTCCCCAAGTAAGCTATTTTTTGTATTATTCACATGAAAGGAAAGCCAACAAGTCAACAACGCATGACTCTTCGTCTTTCTTTTTCGAACCAGGTTTGATCCTGCTACGGGGCTATTAACAGGAACAAAAGATGGGACACTCGTGAACGTCTACCTGAGGATTTTTGGTAGGAAATCAGAAAAGTCTCTTTGTATCCATCTTCTTGTTTTCCAGGTAAACTTGTTAATGCCCATATTATCTCTAGATACAAGTTGGTTAGTTATGAAAGAGAAATCACAAATTTGGTGTTTATGTATATTCTATTGCAGGCTCTAGCTTGCGCCTTTTGTTTCATGCTTAGGCATTTTCTAGCTGGTTGGTACAAATAAATCTCTGCAACATGAAGAAACTCTAAACGTGTTCCTCGTTTCATCTCCCTCTCTGACTTCACAAATCACACACACAGAACTTGTTTTGCTTCATGTCCAATCTATAAACATCATCATTTTAGTTCACTTATATAGAGAGTTTTCATCTAAAGGCGAGTGTATCTCCACAATATCAAGCCAATGAAATGAATCAGAACCATCTGTCTTGGAATGTTGTCACTACAGCGAGTTAGATCCGTACACTGATCACAAATGAAAAAAAAATAGGAAATTAGCTTTTTTTTTTTTTTTTGGTCTAAAAAATAGGAAGGGTCAGCTAAGAATGATTTGTTTGACAAAAAAAAAAAAAAATCTGTTGAATATTTTTTTTTATTTTAGTTACAAATGCTAATCTTATTTTAATAACATTGATAAAAAAAAAAAACACTAAATATTTTATGTTAAAAAAAAAACTAAATTTTCTTGATTTAAAGTTCGATAATATCGATATCTCTGGCTATAGGCTTTTGTAGCATACATTAAAGTGTCCATTAGACATTTGTTTTTGGATAAAAAAAAAGTGCTTTTAATATTAGACAGACTAGTGTCGTACTAGAATAAAGAATGTAATAAAAATAGAGGGAGAATCGTAAAAGAAACCCACTTATGGCATGCCATGTGTCAAAACATAACAAGCGAAGTATGTTTATATAGTAAGAAAACCCTTTTACCCTAAATATCCCAAATTGTCATATGTTCTTTCCTTATGTAGCTCTCTCTGCTCTTTCTCTTTCCTTTTTCTCTTTCGATCAACAAAACCACATCTCTGAACTGAACCATTTTTCTTCTCCTCTTCCGGTTATCGGATTACCAGATCTCGTTTCCCGCGATCTGATTTATTCTTAGGTTTTTGACAAAAGGTAATGTTCGATTTTGAGTTTATTGAATTTTGGGAGATGATTTTGAATTGACGATTATGTTTGTTGGGTGAAATTGATATAGCAGGAGCAGGAGAAGAAAATGGGAAGGGGAAAGATCGCGATTAAGAGGATCAATAACTCTACGAGCCGTCAGGTTACGTTCTCCAAGCGAAGGAATGGATTGTTGAAGAAAGCTAAGGAGCTTGCGATTCTCTGCGATGCTGAGGTTGGTGTTATCATCTTCTCTAGCACCGGTAGGCTCTACGAATTCTCCAGCTCCAGGTACTTTTTTTTTTCTTTCTCTTTGGTTGACTTTTTTTTTTTTTTGGTTTTGGTCCTTCTGATTGATTGATTCATGAAGCAAATTCTAAATCTCGAGTTTTATTTTTTCTTGAATCGATTTCTTGTTAATTTTTTTTATCTGCAAATTCAATTGGTTTAGGGAAAGAATCGTAGATCAAATTAAAACAAAATCCAATATTCATAGATTATAGGTTTTGTAAGTAGGGGGATATGATTACGATATTTGTGTGGAGCATAGATTGTGAGGGACTTGTGGTGTTTATTGAAACATACTAAATTGGGTAGAAACTTTATCAGAAGAGGAAAGGAGGGGAGAAAGTGGTTAGTGGTTGAAGAAACTCTAACTCTCTCCCTCATCAAGTCTTGAAATCACTTTTTTTTTTTTTTTTATAGTCTTCTTGGTTTGGGTAGAGAGGATTTAGAAAGAATCGTCTCTTTTTCACTATTTCTTTTCTTTATTGGCAACTAGTTGGTGGGTTTGATGTACCTAAAATGAGCTGCATTATCTTCTCTTACTATATTGTTAGTACACAAGTGGGGGAATCATTTCTGATTTCGTTGTCATCCATAATCAAGTTTTTGTTTTTTTTTTATTGTTCAACTTGGTCATTTGTTAATGATATGTACGAGTATAGTCTTTCTTTTTGGAAACATTTTGCTATTCGTTAGAAAAATATTATATCATCAATCCCTTCTGAATTTCTACTTTAGGAATTCATTCATTTATTTATTTGAATGTATCATTTGTGTTTATTATTTATTAAAAAAAAAGGTTGAATAAAATCTGGCTCTTAGATCTGTTTCAGAGGGAGAAAGCTTCCATTGTTGTGCAGAGCTTTTGTTGTTTCTCTGTTTTTAGAACTGAGACTCTGTTTTTGTCTTACTTTTTCTCTTCAATAAAGACAGCAAAAAAAGAAAAAGAATTTGTAGCATCCATCAGAGGTGTTACAGCAGAGAAGGAAATAATATTAAGTAGAAAAGATCGTCAGAAATAGATGTAATGGTTCCAAGAGATTGGGGCATTAGATGAGAAATATATTAGAGGCATGTTGTTAAAGGGTCTTTCACGTTTATGTCTCACTGATCCATATCTATACTCTTGTTTACTGATTAGAACTCTGCTTAAACTTCATACATCATATTAGATTTATTGCGAATCTGTATTCCATGTATGCAAAGATGGCTTAGGGTAACAAAATCTATCTAAGTAAAAATTTTGACACTGAAAGATGTAAGGAGAAATGTTGCAGTGGATGTTGCTTGGGTTACCTTACCTATCAACCACACTCTGCAACTATGCAACTACTCTTTTTTTGGCAGCATGAAATCGGTCATAGAGAGATACAGCGATGCCAAAGGGGAAACCAGTTCAGAAAATGATCCCGCTTCAGAAATTCAGGTACTCCTTTTTTGTTACTCCTCCCTATGGATTTCAACGAGGAATTCAGGGACCCAATTCTGTAATTGAGTAAAGAGTAGACAAAACAAGTAACATACTACAACAGAGAGACTGTTACTCGGTGCTTTTGCTAATGTTAGGCTATTTCAACTTCATTAGCATTTCTCAACTTTTGATTCCTCTCAAGCTGATCCTGATTTCATATCGGACTTGCAGAGCATAAATACCACACATCATATGTTGAAGTAGGGTTTGCTATAAAACACATGTCATGCAACGTGACCATCAGATTACATACATGATGTTGCATGTTCTTTTTCAAGAATCCGTTCTAGACTAGATAACATATTAATCCAAAAACAAAATACTTTTTTTCTTAGTTTCAATCACCTGAAAACCTATTTCTACTATATTCTAGTTCTGGCAAAAGGAGGCTGCGATTCTAAAGCGACAGCTACATAACTTGCAAGAAAACCACCGGTATGTTTTGCATCCTCTGAGTTCTTCAAACACTCTTGAACAGGGAATGATGTACTAAAATGCAAAATGATAACATATATGGAGTCCAAGGCTAGATTTTGCAGAACCCAAAAGCATCCTACCACCTTCATAGGAATGGTTGATAGTAGTAATAACCAAAAAGCCAAATGGATGTTTTCCCCAAAGAATTACCATTGTATTTCTACCACCTCCAGAGTTATATACATCCACACATCTAAAACATCCATAAGAAGGAAATAACCAAACACTTTCACACTCCCCATCTTTTTCTTGTTTTGTTTTGGTGAATTAGGAAATGTATATAGTAATTCTGGAAAAGTATGCATATTCAGAAGAGCTTGTACTTGACAGGCAAATGATGGGGGAGGAGCTCTCTGGACTAAGTGTAGAAGCTTTACAGAATTTGGAAAATCAGCTTGAATTGAGCCTTCGTGGGGTTCGAATGAAAAAGGTTTTGTTGCTGTGACAAATAAGTCACATTTTGGTACCATTTAGAAGAAGTAATGGATTTACTCTATCTACAATCTTCTTGCCTTTTGCAGGATCAAATGTTAATCGAAGAAATACAAGTACTCAACCGAGAGGTGGGACTATGGTTACTGTAATATAGGTTTTAGACATTTTCCACTGTGTTGGTAAGCACAATGCTGATTCTTATTTATTCGGTTGCAGGGGAATCTCGTGCACCAAGAGAATTTAGACCTCCACAAGAAAGTAAACCTAATGCACCAACAGAACAAGGAACTACATGAAAAGGTACCTTTGGGTTTTGGGAAGTATCTGGGAGCCAAGATTATCTTTAAATTGCTAGAAAATTTTGTTCTTATCTGAAGATAATATGTCGTTATTCCAGGTTTCAGAGGTTGAGGGTGTGAAAATCACAAACAAGAATTCTCTTCTCACAAATGGTCTAGACATGAGAGATAACTCAAGCGAACATGTCCATCTTCAGCTCAGCCAACCGCAGCATGATGAGACGCATGCAAAAGCTATCCAACTCAACTATTTTTCCTTCATTGCATGATGATATATTCGGTGTGCCGACACACTTATGTTGACCTCATCGGAATCATATCTCAATTAACTGTATCAGTTTGCAATCCCTTTCTATCAAACACCAGCTTTGAACCTTTTTAAACGTTCTTCTCTCTGCAAAGAACCTTGGTTTGGCGTTTAAGCATGTACTTTGCAGGATAAAGGAATGTAGTGTTTTAACATAAAGTTTGTCTGTGTTATTCAAGAGGACTAATACTTTCCTTGATTTGTGACTTGTGATGATATGGTAAAGCAAATTGTTTTTTTTTTTTTTTTTTTTTGACATTTTTTTGGGGACATAGTAAAGCACATTGTATGAGTTTCGGAATTGTAGAATACACCACTAAAAGTCATCTCTAATAAAGTAAAACTCCATACCTTAGACGTTATTATGCAATGTGCCTGAAACTAAAAGATGATTGAACTTTATCTTACCAAAAAAAAAGAAAAAGATGATAGAACTTTATGGTGTCAAAGAAGCGGTAAATGTGGTGGTGAGGCAAAATAGTACCATTTTCGGGTAATCTATAAAAGGAGACGAAGGTTTTAGACTTTAAGTCTTTTAAGTCAATAAATTAATCAAAGTCATCACATGATATCATATGCTTTGAAAAGTCTAAGAATTTGCGTTTTCTAAACAAGTGGATTGCTAGTTCTATATCGAACTGATGAAGTAAAAACATACTTGAATTTTATTATTTTTCTGGTGCTCTCATAATTATTCCTTAATATTACAATAAGTTCCCACTCTTAGAAAACCTTTACGATACAAGTCATTTATCTCATATCGCTTCATCGTGATCGTGTCTTCAAGGATATTAGTTGAAATTGACACCATACTTAGGCTGTAGATTCGGAAGAAAAAGTCCCCAAAACTTCTCAATCTCGGGACCCGGCTTCGAATTCTCATCGAACATAGCAAATATATAAGTCTCTATAGCTCTCCCTGGCCTTCTCGGAGATCCATTTTTCACGGTTTGTATCAAATTGTTCACATAAGTCCTCGCATTCTCCACACTCGTCGCGGCTCCTCCCGAGGTCGGCCAACCACTCTCGGAAACCACGATCTCCACTGATCCACCTCCAGCTTTCTCTAATGATGCGTAAACAGTGTCTAAGATTGCATGGAAGAGGTTTCGGTATTGGTTTTGTCCGTCATTGACTACAGTGGATGGTGCAGTGAACAGAGTGTAATCTAAACGGATGTCTCTCATGTTTCCCGTGTAGCTGAAGTAAGGGTAAAGATTCACGAGCAGAGGAGATTGCTTGCTTGCCAAGAAACCTATCACCGGTGCGATAAAGTTCCTAAATTCCGGTGTGAACGTCCCACTTGATGGTGGAAACCCGGAAATTCCTCTGGTGTCTATAGCCGTCGAGACCTTGATCCCGAGGCTTGAAACTGCTCTCTCTATGTTCTGCATCGCGGGGAGGACAAACCTGGCGGCTTGGTCCGAGGGTTGTACCTCGTTCCCGACCGATATGTAGCGGAATCTGACATTGTTTGCATAGTTACGGACGTTGTTGCGGACCCACGTGTCGGCTTCCGCTTGGCTGGAGGCGAGACGCTGGAGATCAGGGTTTGGAACATCGAGCACGAGCTCGATATTGGAGCCGCGGAGAGCGTTGAGAGCCTCCTGGTTGGGATCGTACAGCCGCATCCGCCGGATGTTCCGTTGTCGGTAAAGAGCCACGACTTCCGACGCAGGACGCAGGTTGTTTCCATTTCTCCCGTAGCACACTCCGATTTGCCCAACTTAAATTTCAAAATAAGAATTATTAGTGAAAAGAATAAATTGTAATCAAATTCTGAAATGAATTCTAAAGAGACTAATGTGATATTATCAATAGATTAAAAGAAAATTGAACCTGCCGTGTCGAAGAAGGAAGCCATTAGGAAGCTGAGAAGAAGCAGTAACAGTGGTTTTGAGGTTAAGAAACTCGATCCATTAAAGATCTTCATGAAATAACAACTAAAGATGATTTTAAGATATGTATTAATGTTATGCTTGCAACCTTGTATATTTAAATCGTAGCATTTTGCGCTAATTTATAGAGGGAATGGAGGGATTCAAGTCAATGAAATGAAACAAAGTCATCGCGTCATATCATCACAGTTTGGAATGTTATACATTAAATCACCGTTCATGAATATCTCTCTAAACCTATGCTTTGAAAAGTCTAAGAATGTGAGTTTTCTATACACGTAGCTTTCAATAGGCCTAACTAGCTAAACACTAAAATTTTCATGTCAATTGGAACGAATCCTCCATTCCATAGCCCCAAAGGTAGAAATACGACATTTCTCTCTGTAATATTGTAGAAAATACTATGGATTGTCCATTAAAAAGGTAGTGACTATAAGCCTAAAACTTGACCGAAAATTTCTTGCTACATCAAAACTGATACCCAATTTTCTTGTGACAACACATTTACAAGTATGATTACATAGTAATACTGCTTTTAAACCGTTTAACAGTTGAAGCGATTATTCTTACATACAAAATTTCTTCGTCGTCCTAGTTAAATAATATTCTTTTCCATGTGTGAGATACTACAATGTGTTCTCTATGTCAATTATCAAGTCGTAGTAATCTCATCATAGCTGCCAAGAAAATCAATATAATAAAAATAAAATAAATGTTTACAATATAGACCTCAGACCACAAGATTGAGTTTGGGACTATAGACCGAAGATCACATTCACAAAGGGACGTGTCTTGCGTAGAATAGTAGAAGCGTTGTGTAGTGATACTAATAGCCAAAGAAAATTCTCGGTGTCGAGTTCAGTAGGACGACCAAAATAGACCAGTGGTGATGGCTTTTTGGTATAATGTATTAATGTTGTGATGGCCCCATTTCCCCCATGGGCTTTTGGCATTTTTTTTTCCACTTTTTAGTTATAGTCACTTTTTGTTGTTTAGCCCCTTTTGTGAGTACCATGTAAACTTGGAAAATTTCCGAAAACTAATTAGAGAAAAAAAAAAATATTAGTGATGGCTATGCTCATGCATATGTTATGTGTGGACCCTATCCAATCTTAGTAATTTGAATTATCAGGTTTTTTAGGTACAAGACAATAGATGTTTGGATCAAATAATTTTATTTCAATGAGTAAAAGTACATGTTAGGTAATTATCGGGACATCTAGGCCCTGTTCTTTTAGGTGTCGCTGCGACACACTCCGGCGACTGAAAAATACAAAGGAAAATGATATAACTGTCGCTGAGATTTTAAACTCCATAGAGAAAGGGGCTGTCGCTGAGTGGAAAACAAGCTGCTGCTTTTTCCAGCGACTGAAAAATATGGTCACAGCGTCACCGTAATCATTAACAGCGGCATGCTCCCCACATTCTGGGATCATAAAACCCTTGTATTTACAGCTTATTTCCGGTCGCTTATTTGGGTCGCTAGCGACTGAACACCGAACATGGCCCTAGCCAATGCGGCTCTACGGCCCTGACCCAGGCGCTCTTGCCGCTCTCCATGACTCTAACATCGACCTCATCTTCGACGTTCCCAATCCAGATCTTGAACGTCTTAGGTTCAATCATCTTTTAAGCTAAACTGTAACATCTATTAATCATCTCCATATGCTAAATTCATCTCCAAAATAGATGTTATAGTTTAGCTTAAAAGATGATTGACCCTATGGTGTTGAAGAAGAAAGTAGTTAAAAGGCTGAGAAGAATCATCAACATTGGTGGCAGGACCGGCCCAGACCTAAAGCCCAACAAGCAGGTGTTTTAGGCAGCAAAATATATTTTTAGTTTTAGGGGCATCATATTTACAAAAACGTCTGGTGGTGCAGTACTCTTTGTCTCTTCAAACGTTTGGATGTGGCGGGTTCAAAACTTGAACTATGCAAATTTTAGAACTTTTTGTTTTTTTTTTAGTAAAATGGACATCAAATTTTAGTGGGTTTTAGGCATCACAAAACTTTGGGCCGGCCCTAATTGGTGGTGAGGCTAAGATCCTTGATTCATATATTTTCTTGATTTCTCTATGATACTGTGAAAAAACTATATGTTTAAATCATACCATTTACCGCCTTATATTTAGAGCCAAGCCTGGGGTGCAAGTCATTAGCGAGTGTACGGAAAGTATTCGTAGATCGTTTGTTGGATGGGCCTGCAAGATGTCAAATAAGGCCCATTATTAGTAATACTTGAGGCGTAAGTTAGATAAAGATGTTACTTACCGATTTCGATCAACATCCCTAGGTTAAGCTACCCTCTTCCCAGCCCCGGCTTACGGGGTAAGCGGAGGTGCGGCGGTCCGGAGTTTTTTTTTTATACAAAAATTTACATATAAAAAAGATCCAAATATTTTTTAAAAATATTATTAATGTAAAAATTATATTTTAAGAGGCCTAAATATTTATAAGAAAATGTATAAAAGGCTCAAAATTTTAAAATTAACAATTTTTACTACAAAAGATCCGCAAAATTTTTTAAATTAAGTAAATTTTCTCTTTATATATAATAATAGGCCAAAAAAATTTTTTTTGCCCTAAAGCTCTCATATATATTGAGCCGGGGCTGCCTCTTCCTCCGCCAGTCTCGTCTGCCTTCTTCCGCATCTCTGTAAGTTTCAATCCGTTAAAAACATGAATGATTCCTCCAAAAGTCGGTTCTACGGTAGGATCTATCTCTATCTCTTCCTCGATATTGTTTATTGCAATTACGTGTTTTGATTCGTTTATTAACTTATTCGATTTGTGATCGTCCTTCTCCTTTAAGCGTTAGAGTTGTTGTTCTTTAGTTGTTGATCGATGATATATATGTGTGATTAAAAACAGATTAGATCTGATGATTAAGTGTTCATCACCAGTTTTAGATTCGTGGGAATTTCATCTGATCGATCTGTCGTAGTAACTTAGCGGATCTAATCGATATGTCATCGTAAATTAATGGATCTAACAAGTTGTATTCATGATCTAAAGTTTTCAGTGTCGTTTTTTTTTGTCTTAATTGCTTACACGTTTCCTGTTTAATAAAACTTGGCAGGGGCGAAAACAATTGTCTTCTGGCAATTCGAGGAATGCCCGATCCCTGATGACATAATTTCTGATGAAGTCGAAGCGAACATCTCAAGTGCCATTAGGGATATGGGTTATTATGGCCCAGTAACCATGAGGGCTTATGGTGATATCTATAAGTTGCAGAGGGAATGTTGTGGATTTCTTATCTTTTACGCAACCTCGGGTGAGAATTCCTAACACACTTTTTTCTTCTTCTTCTTCTTCTTTTTCTTCTTCTTTTTACTAATCCTTACTTTGGTTTCCGGTGTTAAAGAAACGACACAGGACAAGATTTTAGTGGACTTACTTGGCCAAGCAGTTTTTTGGCCTCGTGATAGTCCAATTAATTTGATGCTGATCGTCGGAGACATCTCGAGACACGCAGGGTTGTTGAATGCTATTGACACTTTGGCTGCGCATGGAAACTTCAATATTATCTTATCACAGCCTTTAAAGGTGGCATCAGGACAGCTACCTGAAGGTGTTGATACAGTATGGCTTTGGGAAGGCCTATCAGTTCTAGCAAGGATGGTGAGTCGGGAAAGTGGACCAGCCGCAATCGAGGAGCTATTAACCAACTCGGTGAGTAGGAATGATCAGATCATGCAATATCGTGAAAGAATACCTCTTGACATTGCCACTGCAAGAGCAAGGCGGCCACACCACCGTTGATTAGAACCAAGAAGAAGTCCGAAGGTAAGTAGGAAAATGTACCGACGATGTTTGCTTTTGTTTCCTGTCTCTTGTCGGCCTAACACAAGTCATCAACACTTTTTTAGTGAAACTTTTCTGGTTGGCTTCTTCTTTCGGTCGGTTAGCATAAAGAAATTTGATCGGCCTTTGAGAATTGGTGTTTTTGTTTGTAATCTCTTGCGCGTGACAATGAATAGTTTGTACTTTGGTTGACCTTACTGCTGGGTAGCCGAATCCCACTCCCACTTGGCCTTCTTTCTGTTGGATATATCACTAGTTTGTACCGTGGTTGCTTTCTTCCTGGACCTTTAACTAGTCTTTTGTATCGCCAAGGCTCTAACTAGTTTGTATTGGTGATGATTGCTTGCTTTTGTGGCTGTCGATGCTCAGCTAACATTTCTCTTTTAATTAAAGCTTTCTGTTTATTTTTGGTTAGCATAAAAACTCTCTATTGTTTTTTGAACTCACAGCCAGTGTTCTCTTTTCTCCAGTTTTGTTGATGCTCATAACCAAACCAATCCCTCATTCATGTGTCTCTCTTTCTCAGTTTTGCTTAGACTCGTAACCAGTGATTTTTTCCTCGTCGGAATTTATAATCATAAATTTGCACTAAAACTATATTGAAAAATATATAAAAAATAAGGACAAATTGATCATAGCCTGAGAGAGACTGGAGAGAAAGAACACTAAGCGATTCTTTCAAAGAGAATGAACCCGTATATATTGACAAGCTAGCCTGTTCTTATGTATAATACTTATTACATATTTCTCAAAATAAAATAGCTCAGATACAAAATAGTCCAGACATTCTCTCACTATATTGAATCCGATAGCTTTAAAATTTATAACATGTTAAAAAAACATAGTTATGGCTCATTATTCCTTATTATTACAAGAAGTTCCCCCTTTTTAAATACCCTTACAGAAAAAGCCCACAAGTCCCATCTTCTTCAAGAAGTCTCTCCAAAGATTAGTTGAAATTAACTTCATACTTTGGCTGTCGATCCGGATGAAACAGTCCCCAAAACTTCTCAAACGCAGGTTCCTTCTTATTCTCATCAAACATAGCGAATATATAAGTTTCTATAGCTTTCCCTGGCCTTCTCGGTGATCCATTCTTCACATGTTGTATCAAATTGTTAACATAAGTCTTTGCGTTTTCCACACTCGTCCCGACTCCTCCCTCTGTGGGCCAACCGCTCTCCGACACCACGATTTCTAACGATCCTCCACCCGATTTCTCCAATGCTGCATAAACCGAGTCGAGATTTGCGTCAAATAGGTTTTGGTATGAGTACGGATCGTCAGCAACCGTGGACTGAGCGGTGAACAGAGCGTAGTCTAGAGGGACCTTGGCCGTGTCTCCCATGTAGCTGAAGTAAGGATAGAGATTCACGAGCAAAGGAGATTGCTTGCTCATCAAGAAACCTATCACTGGTTCGAGAAAGCTCTTATACTCATCCGTGAACCTTCCCTGAGACGGAGGAAATGTATCTGTAGTGGTGTCAGTGGCTATAGCCGTAGAGACCTTGACTCCAAGCCCTGCTCCAGAAACTGCTTTCTCGATGTATTGCATTGCTTGCAAGAGAACACCCCCAGCTGAGGGTTTCACCTCATTTCCGACGTTGATGTACCGGAATCTGACACCATCGGTGTAGCTCTGAACATTTTCTTGAACCCACTTGTCCGCCTCTGTTTGGCTGGAGGCGAGACGTTCAAGATCTGAACTGGGAACGTCGAGGATGAGCTCTATGTTAGAGTCACGGAGAGCGGCAAGAGCGTCTGGGTCAGGGCCGTAGAGCCGCATTCGCTGAATGTTCTGTTTCTTGTAAAGAGCCACAACGTCCGATGGACTTGGCAAGGTTTCGCCTAGCATCCCGTAGCATACTCCGATTTGTCCAGCTTCATTATTTTCCAAAAATAAGAATCATTAACAAAATTATATTGAATCAATTTCTGTAGATGGAGATGATGATTAATAGATGTTATAGTAGCTTAAAAGATGATTGAACCTGTGGTGTTGAAGAAGGAAGCTATCACAAGGCTGAGAAGAATCATAAGCATTGGTGGTGATCCTAAGATCCTTGATTCAGACATTTTCTTGATTTTTCTATGATACTCTGAAATTTTCTAATTTATAGAGCCAAGCATGGGGTGCAAGTCAGTCAATGAATGAAATCAAACTAAGAGTCATCGATCTATCAATATAATCTGCTTTGTTATGTTTCACGTTAATCACCATTAATTATAAATACCTCTCTAAATCTACGCTTTAAAAAGTCTAACAATATGAGTTTTCTACACAAGTAGCTATCAATAGCCGATAGGGTTTAACTAGCTCAAGATACGATTGTTTAATATGATGAATCGCCCAAACCAAAAAATATTTGGTTTTAAAATATTTTAATATAAATTTTTGATTGATTTTTATAATTCTTTTTGGTAATAGGTTGGATATATCATGGTAATATTGGCCGTTAATCGTACGTCAAACGTGAACCAATTAATACGTCGTTAGACCCACAAGCCAAGTTGAATTATGGTTAGATTGACTATTGTTCACATTAAATTGATTGTAATGACTTTAGCGTCTAACGTGTTTAAGGTGCCACGGATGGTTCCAAGTACCACTGTGAACGAAAATCATCTAATCAGAATTGAACTTCGCTTGTGGGTCTACCGACGTATTTAGTGGTTCTTCATGATCTCAGCCTTGTAAAACACGTACGGTTCGTATTTAATTTATTTCTACCCTAAGCTTGTGACTTTATATCGTCGATTTTTTCTTCTTGATGAACTATTTGACATTTTTGGATTTATATATCAACCATTAAACCAAAGAAGAAAAAGAATTGTGATAATTTTTCTTTCAACTAATTTGGTTCAGTAAAACACAAGGTGCTTAGGTGCATATAAAATCCACGATGAATATGGATTTTCTCTTGTTTATTTTTCTATAGAGAAGAAAATATCAAATTACAAATGTTAGCCTGTGAAACAAAATTGTTGTAGCGTTAGAGATATATCGAAAAATAACTAATATCAAGTCCATCAACAACACGGCGTCTATTTTTGTCGTCCAACTGAAATAGACCTTTAGATGAATTTTCCTCGGTTTTGAATATCACACTATTCACACACTACACATCATTATTTCTACACAAATACACAAAACACGTCCCTTCATGATTGTGATCTCATGGTCTAGTACCCAACTCACCCTTTGTAGTTTGTGGTCTGAATTTTGTACTAATTTTTTTGTTCTTACTGATTTTCTAACTTGCTATGCTGTAAGAAATTATTTAAGAAACAGGAGGACAATCTATCTAACCCGTCCATTCAAGCTATGGAAGCGGAGAAAGAAGCCTATTCGAAGTGGGATCATGTAGCAACAATTGAGGAGAAATTCCTAAAGCATCGATCAAAACTTCATTGGTTAAACATTGGGGACCGTAACAATAAAACGTTTCATCGGGCAGTGGCTACTAGAGAGGCAATGAATTCAATCCGGGAGATTGTTACTCAAGATGGTCGTGTGGTTACATATAAGGACGAGATTAAAACAGAAGCAGAAGGCTATGAGGGCATGACAGTCGAGGAGTTGGAGGAACTGTTGCCTTTCCGTTGCTCAGAGGAGGACAATAAGGAGTTAACAAGGGTTGTAACAGGGGAAGAAATAAAAAAGGTCTTGTTCTCTATGCCAAATGACAAATCACGGGGTCCAGATGGTTACACAACAGAGTTTTATAAAGCAGCATGGGAAATAATTGGCGGCAAATTTGTCACAGCAATTCAGTCTTTTTTTGCTAAGGGCTTCATGCCTAAGGGACTTAACTCAACAATTCTAGCTCTCATCCCCAAGAAGAAGGAAGCAAAGGAGATGAGAGATTATAGACCGATCTCATGTTGTAATGTTCTCTACAAAGTGATCTCGAAGATAATTGCGAATAGACTGAAGCGGATTCTGCCAAAATTCATAGTGGATAACCAGTCGGCTTTCGTGAAGGACAGGTTACTCATTGAGAACGTTCTATTGGCGACTGAGTTAGTCAAGGACGACCATAAAGAGGATATATCAACAAGATGTGCCATGAAAATAGATATTTCGAAAGCTTTTGACTCACTCCAATGGTCTTTCCTTATAAACGTTCTCACGGCTATGAACTTTTCGAAGGAGGTGATACACTGGATAGCTCGCTGCATCACCACAGCTTCTTTCTCAGTACAAGTCAATGGAGAACTGGCTGGCTACTTTCAAAGCGCCCGCGGTCTTCGACAAGGTTGCTCGCTATCCCCATACCTTTTTGTCATCAGCATGAACGTCCTCTCGAAAATGTTGGATAAAGCAGCATGAGCAAGAGAGTTTGGATACCATCCTTGCTGCAAACCTCTCGGGTTAACGCATCTATGTTTTGCTGATGACCTTATGATTCTCACGGATGGTAAGGTACGATCTGTCGATGGCATAGTCAAGATAATGAATCTCTTTGCAAGTCGATCGGGGCTGAAAATGAGTATGGAAAAAACAACATTATATACGGCTAGCGTCTCAGAGACAACTCGCCAAACGATGGCCAGTCGATATCCTTTTGGCTTAGGTCAGCTCCCGGTGAAATATCTTGGCCTTCCCCTTGTCACGAAGAGACTCACGGCAGGTGATTACTCTCCCTTAATTGATCAAATACGCGGCAGAATTGGAACATGGACTACACGTTATCTCTCTTTTACGGGTCGTTTGAATCTCATTGGCTCTGTTCTATGGAGTATCACAAACTTCTGGATGAATGCGTATAGATTGTCAAGAAACTGTATTAGAGAAATAAAAAGGCTATGCTCAGCTTTTTTATGGTCTGGACCCGATTTAAATCCCAATAAAGCTAAGGTTTCATGGGAAGAGGTTTGTAAGCTGAAGAAGGAAGGAGGACTCGGGCTGCGATCTCTAAAAGAAGCAAACGATGTATGCTGCTTAAAACTGGTCTGGAGATTAATCTCTAATGGGGATTCTCTGTGGGTGAGATGGTCTAAGATGATGTTGCTCAAAAAGGAATCATTTTGGTCTCTTAAGACAAATTCAACTTTGGGCTCTTGGATGTGGAAAAAACTTCTGAAATATAGAGATCTTGCGAAGGGTTTTTGTAAAGTGGAAGTTCAAAATGGGGCTAACACGTCTTTCTGGTTTGACAATTGGACAGGGGGAGGAATACTGATGGATACAATTGGCCCGAGAGGAGTTATTGATATGGGAATCAGTAAACATATGACATTGGCGGAGGCTTGGGAATTACGGCAACGCAGGAGGAGATGTCACAGGTTAGAGGTCTTAAACGCAGCGGAGGAAGCTTTATCAAAGGCTTTTCAAAGCCGCAATATGGGAAGGAATGATGTTGTGGTATGGCGAGGTAAAGGAGATGTCTTTAAACCCATATTTTCTACTAAGGACACATGAAATCACATTAGAACGACTTCAAATCAAGTGGCTTGGCACAAAGGAGTTTGGTTAGCTCACGCGACGCCAAAATTCTCTTTTTGCCTTTAGTTAGCGTTGAAAAACCGTCTATCAACGGGAGACAGAATGCAGGTATGGAACAATGGCGCCACTGTGTCTTGTATCTTCTGCAACGATCCCTTGGAGACTCGTGATCACCTCTTTTTCTCTTGTCATTATACCTCTGCAATATGGAAAGCACTTGCTCAAAAGCTCTTCGGCACAAGGTTCTCTACGGAGTGGCAACAGGTAGTGGATTACATCTCAGAGTCTCAACATGATCGAATCCATAGCTATTTGGCCAGGAACATATTTCAGCTCACAGTTCATACCATTGGGAGAGAGAGGAATGCAAGACACCATGGAGACGATCCGCGTCCTGCAACCACACTCATCCGATGGCTCGACAAGCACGTCCGCAGCCAACTCTCGGCAATCAAATCACTGGGCGATAGACGTTACGACCAAGCCTTACAAGCATGGTTCGCCGTCCAAGCTTAACGTGGAATGCTCTGGTTTTTTTTCAAAACCTCTGTTTCTTCAAAAGCAAAGCTCAATCTTAATCTTCTGGTTTTCATATTTTCAAAAACAATGCTGATGTAACAAGTATATTTTTTTTTTTGAATATAATTTAACATTTTATTCAAAAAAAAAAAGAAATTATTTAAACTTAGGTTGAGATAACTAATTTTGTATAAATTTCAAGAGTCTGATTGATACGACTTCGTTTTTAGATACAGGAAGTATAATTTTACTTGAAATTGATAAAGTCATCACAATCTCAAAGTCACCACTCACCATTACAAAGTACAAACACGTTAGACACTAAAGTCGTTATATATTGAAGTCATTATTTGTATTGATAAGTCATTACAGTCTCTCCAACTTTATTTCCTGTATAATGATATACCAATATCTATATATTTTGTTCAAATATACAATATACCATTCCTTGGTTAGAATATCGGTTCGGTTCAACCAAAGTTAATAGCGTACTTAGGCTGCTTGTTCGGATAGAACAATCCCCAAAACTTCTCAACATAAGGAGGAGTCGGCTTCTTATCCTCGTCATACATGGCAAATATATATGTCTCGATTTCTCTCCCCGGTCTCTTCGGTGTCCCATTCTTCACATGATTAATCAAATTATTGTTATAAATTCCCGCATTCTGTATGTTTGTATCGATTCCTCCTCCCGTTGGCCATCCGGTCTCTGCCACAACTACTTCCAACGATCCGCCACCGGATCTCTCTAGAGCCGAGTGCATCGCATCGAGCATCGCATCAAATAGGTTTTGGTAAGATCTCGGAGGGTCCAAAACGATTCCTGGAGGAGCCGTGAAGAGAGCGTAATCGAGTCGTATTTGATCTTTATTTCCCGCGTAGCTGAAGTAAGTGTAGAGGTTTAAGAGTAAAGGAGAGTTCTTGCTTACCAAGAAACGTATGATTGGTTCCATTACCACCATAACGTCTCCCCTAAACGAACCTTTCGATGGTGGATAAGACTCTCCGAGCACTCCCATGTCTACCGCCGTGGATATCTGTTAAAATCCGCACATTTAAATTAAAACAGAGTTCAAATTTTGATTTTTGTGAAAAAAAAACAGAAAAAAAAAAAGAGTCAGACGCAATTAAGTTCTTGAACAAAATTTACATTAAAACTTTGAATATTTCCATTTTTTAATAAGATAAATTTGCAGAATGTAAACTGAAAAAGAGATCTTAATTAATGTTAGTGCCAAAAAAAGAAAAAGACTAAAGTTTTTGATTCGTTTGCTAAAAGATTATGTTTTTATTGTGAAAATATGTAAATCAATATATATGAGTAATAACAATACCTTGATACGACCACCTAGTCCGGCTGCTAAAACCGCCCGGTCAATGTTTATCATGGCCGGGACTAGGAACTGTGCATAAGAGTCAGAGATCTTAACTTCGTTCCCAACAGATATGTAACGGAACCTGACGCCATTCACGTAGTTCATGACGTTGGTTTGGACCCACGTGTTAGCTTGTGATTGGCTCGAGGCCACGCTCTGTAGATAAGAGTTGGGAAGGCCCAGCGTTACCTCGATGTTGGAGCCACGTAGGGCGTCTAGAACGTCGTGGTCTGGAGTGTATAGCCTAACTCGTCGGATGTTTCTCTGCTTGAAGAGCTCGACGGTTTCTGCCGCCGAAGGGAGGTTGTCGCCGTTTCTTCCGTAGCAAACCCCGACTTGTCGAACTGTTAAATATTAAATCCAATATATAATACATCATCATTCATCACATGTGGCATGAATATTTCATGAGAGAATTAATAATGTGTTATTGTTATTAATCATAAAATTAACATATCTAATCATTTGAATAATTTTTGTTTTAAAGCTAGATAATAGGAAAAAAAAAAGGTCTCAAAAGTTCAAGATCGTGACATGGTTTGATTACTCTATGTCAGAGTGATATTATAATATAATCATATATGTTATAGTTTCTACATAAATAATGAAATAAAGAGATATTAGTGACCTGCTGGAATTGTATTGGCGAAGAATAGACCGAGAAGAAAGGTCAAGGACGCCAAGAATCGGAGATCCATCGTTAGGTTAAGAAAGAGATGTGACCTAATGATTTTTTAGACAATTAAGAGAGGTGTAAATCATGTATTGTTATGACATTGATCTTAGCATACATACGTATATATAGTAAATTCTAGAGAAAGAACATAAATATATAACCAAATGTGAAACGTCAATATGAAATATACGGCATTAGGCAACAAGATAAAGTATATGTTGGTAATCTCTGAATAATTAATAAAATGGTATCAAAAATGGTATCTACATTATCAGAGACAGACTTGAACTTGATGGTGCTCACAAGTCAAACAAAGCGTGGAATTTATTAGGGTTTAGCCGTTAAGGACTTATAATTCAGACAAATCAAATGCTGGTTGGGCTAACTAAAGCTACGACTAATATTAATAGGCCTTAAACGGAATGAGCCCAACAAAGAACCTGAGACAAATCTGAGCCCACTAGAAAGCTAAAACGGAGATCGAAGCTTAAACCAGCTAAACCGAAATAATTAAATGAATTCGTTTTTTCATCTCCGAAAAAGTCAAAGATTAAACCAACTAAAACCGAAATTGTCCCATTGCGCGTAATTTCTTCGCAACATTTTGACCGAACAACTTCAAAATCCAACGAACGGACGGTCAAGATTGCCCGATCACATCGTCTTCTTCTTCTCAGCAAGAGAGAGTCCTTAACGCCGGCTAGATCAAAAATCAACTACTCCATCTCTCGTGCTGACCACGCTCCGATTCTCCATTTCTTTCCCTCTTGACTTTTTCACTTCAATTTTTCAATCTCAGATCTCGACGATGGCTACACAAATCTCTCAGCTTTCTTGTTTCTCATCCACCAATCCTCAATTTCACTTCCAGAGCCGATCGTTTCCATGCCCTAGGATTCGTCCCCAGGTAAGCTGCTCGATATCGCGTTAAAAAGACTTGGAATTTATTCATCTCGATTTGATTACGTCCATGCCCAATACTCTATTTGTTCTACTTTCCTGATTACTCTCAAAATACCAGCTTTTGTTTTCTAGAAATGATTCTTCTTGGGACTTGATTGAATTGCTTCTCTGTTTTCTCTGGCTGAGTTGGTTGGGAATGTATCTTGTGGTAAAAACAAAAAAAGAAATAACCTTTTTGTTTGGTCTTACATTTCGTGACAAAGTTCCGGATTGCTTGAAACAATCATATCCACCTCTTTGGTTGTCTCTTTTTGCTAAGTATCCTTTGTTGAGCTCTCTTCTAGAGTTTTTGGGACTGATAGTGTCACCACAAGTGGCTAATTCGCGTAAAAATGGTGTGCAGTCTTTTGTAGTTAGAAGCGTTGATGGGAATAGCTCTGAAACACCGGCTTCTCTAAGCTATACAGCTGAGGTTTCAAAACCTATTGTTGAGAAAACATCTAAACCGTATTCCTCTGTGGATGAAACTGCTACCGATAAAGATATTATCACAGAGCCAGTAGAAGAACATGTTGCCACACAACCAATAAGAGCAGCAAAGATCCACGATTTCTGTTTTGGCATTCCTTATGGTACTACTTTGTGACTCTCAAGCTTAATTTCAAATCTTAGCATTTCTAGGCTGCTTTTTTAGAAAAGAAAATTTCTGCTTTCCATGTTCTTCATTTCCCGTATGAGAGTGTTTATTGTCTGGTAACTCGCTGGTGTTAATTATGCCTCATAAATGATACTTTGTCAGGTGGTCTCGTTATCAGTGGAGGGCTTCTTGGATTTGCGTTTTCACGAAATCTTACGAGCTTAAGTACTGGTGTCCTCTATGGTGGTGGGCTTCTAGCCCTTAGTACATTGAGCTTAAAGATTTGGCGACAGGGAAAGTCTAGTTTCCCTTATATACTAGGACAAGCAGGTAATCTTCATTTATTGTCTGCAGGAACAATAGCGGATGTTTTCTTATCACTGCTTTCATTTGTAATTCATTTCATCAAAAGATTACTGGTATCTTACTCATGATAAGTGGATATGAAAATCCAGATAAGTAGTTGTAGTATACTGTGTCATGCTATGAAGTGGTCATCTCTGAACCAAGATCATTATCTGCCCATGATTCGCTATAAGAAGTGTTCCTTTGATCTATGAAAGCATTCGTACTTACTCATTTTTCAAAACCTGAAATTGCAGTGCTGTCAGCTGTCGTCTTCTGGAAGAACTTCACAGCTTATTCGATGGTATTCATTAAATTTGTGATCATGCTGATTGTTTTTTTTTGCTTGCTTGACTTCAACTGAATAATGTTGTACTTATGCAGACTAAGAAGCTGTTTCCGGCCGGTCTTTTTACTGTCATCAGGTAAGAAATACTTTTTGTGATCTACAAAAGACTCTGATGATCTTTCGTTGATTCATGTAACTGTGTGTTTACGTCTTTTTATTTTGCAGTGCTTGCATGTTGTGTTTCTATACATATGTGGTGCTCTCTGGAGGAAACCCACCTCCAAAGAAATTGAAACCATCTGCTACTAGTCCTTCATACTGAAGAGACTTCACATAGGTTAGATTTTAAAACATGGAGATCTTCTCTTTTGATTACTATGTGTTGGATTATTACTGGTGTAATTTTATACTCTTTACGAATTGATATACTTGTTTTGTTTGTGACCTGTTCTTTCCAGTGTCATAATCTAAAGTTTTGTTTTTCTTACTTGTGAGATGTGTATGCTTTGATTGTCCATATTCTAGTCTAGTATAATACTAATGAAAAAAAAAAAAAAGATTAAAAGAAGAGCCAAATCATAGTCAAAGGGCAATAGCATTTAAGATTGAAAAAACAACTTGAAAACTAGACTAAAATAAAAGTAACATAGAAAAGTTATTGATAGCTCAATCCTGAAACAATAATAAGAAAATATATCAATTTCCAATGCTTCCATCAATTATACAGTGAGTAAACTTGGGAAATAAGCGATAGAAACCCCTCTATGCTTAAATTTAAAAGCTAAATCATAAGACTTTTGTTCCGGATCATGTATTATTAAAGTACGGCCAACAATCTTCCAACTATGAAGCAAAATCTTATTTTTCTGAAATGTTGCGATTGTTTGTGTTGGCAAAGTCCGATGGCGAAACCAAATGGAAGTTCTATTCAAATCAATAGAAAACGTCTTCTCCCATTTTTTGCCGGAGTTTAATGACCATATCTCTTGTTTCATGTCCTTACCCTCTGATATACACAAACGGTCCTTCATGTTGCTTATAGTAACTGGACCAGCAGTGGTAAATGGTATTTTCATACTCACTTCAAAAGTTTCACTGGAAAGATTAAAACACACTATATGCCTTTTCGAATTGGTAACTGTGCTTAGCCAATGAAGTGATCCATCTACGTATGTTGGATGATCACAATAAGCGACTTCATAGGGAGAACCAGTCACGTTCCTCCAAGTGTTTGTATTAAAAGAGAAAACCTCGCATGTGGTTATGTTGTCTAAATCCAACTCTTTCGAATTATATAAGTTATATATATAACCATACCAACTTATATACTCCATTTTTATTGTCTCTTCCCAATCCAAGCAAGGGGTAAGATATATATTCATCGTCTGCTAAACCAAAAAAAAATAGTTTTCATTTGAAAAAGAGAAAGAAAAAAGAAGCTAAAACCTGAACAAAAGGGCATACATGATACACCCTAAACTCAAATGTGTACCTAAATCAATTCAAAACCAACAAAAACTAAAATGTTGAAAAAGAAAATAATCTATATAAAAAAATTCTATACAAGAAAATCCTAATATGGATCTCTAAATAAAACTTACAGAGTTCCATGAACATAAATTGATTAAGTGAACTTACCACGTCGATTTTCCATATCTTCAATAAGATTTTGAAACCTTGCCAAGGGAAGACTCCGATACCATTTTATCGAAGGATTGATCACATAAATCCATTGCGTGAAACTGTAAATGCATATTAGACCATCGCAACTCTTAGTGACAATAGCAAACGAACTATCACAGAAAGGGTAATAAGAGCGACTCTCCACGAAAACCGAAGACCTCAACGTCAATGTGTTTACGCAAATTTCAGTGGGTGCGTTCGAATAGTTACGATTAGTCTGCACAAAGAGGATATTCGGATCGTGAGATCGCTGACTAATCATATGTCTCTCCTTAAAATATTGAGACATCATCGTTAATTTCCATTCTTTTGATACACATTTGAATTTAAACAGAGATTTAATCGAAAGCTTCTCTAGAATCTTTTCCACAAGATGGTGAGGTAACATTATAGTTGGAAATTTTAACCGATTTACTTCTCTCTCCCACACCCCAAGTTTATGTTTAGGGTTTCCTCTCTCTTGATCTTCCATTGATATAGTTTTTTGTGTTATGCGCTTGATGAAACTTATGTTTGCGTTTTTTTTGGTTATTAGTCAAACTTATGCTTGAGTTTATATATACAACATACATGATATGAAATCATGCTGAGTGAAGGAAAAAATCTAGGAGTATTTTATCTTCTATACATATCTTTATATATATATTATTAAATGAGAAAGTTTATATATTGTTCCAATCATCTAATACCATATTATTTCTTAATTACTTTAGGAAAAAAAAAAATTAAATTCTTAGATGGATTAACTTTTTTCAAAAAAAACAAATGTATTAACTAATAAAACAGAATAGTTTTATATTACCTAAAGTTGTACGGGATATAGATTGTGTATAAGTTTTCTAATTTCAAAGAGAGAGTTTATTTTATATTTATATAGAAATTTTTATTTCCTTCTCATTTTGTAAGAAAAAAAATCTGAAATTTATATTCATTATATATATAAGGAAAATACAGATATACATACTTTGTTTGTCACTTAAAAACCAAAGCTAAAGGCAACACAATTCTTGATGATCCAATTCAAAACAATTTTAACCAATGCAATAGCAAAATGGAAGAGTAATTTGCAGCCTGATTTTGTGCCTCGCCTCTTACTCATTCGACACTTGAACCTGCTAAATACCAGAGGACATGCAATGTACCAATTCCGAATTGATACCTTTTCTTAATTACATTTCCTAAATTATGGTTTATTTAATTTTCGTAAGTCTTGATTAGGATCCGAATTTTTTTAAACCGGGTTTTTAGATCCGCATGTTTTTAAACATATCTTTTTATATCTTTGCAAATTTAATACTAATATAGAAAAGTTATTGCTAGCTCAATGCTGAAACAATAATAAGAAAATATGTCTATTTTTAATGCTTCCATCCCTTAAACAGTGAGTAAACTTGGGAAATAAGCGATAGAAATCCCTCTATGCTTGAATTTAAAAGCTAAACCATAAGAATTTTGTTCCGGATCATGTACTATTAAAGTATGGCCAATTATCTTCCAACTATGAAGCAAAATCTTATTTTTCTGAAATGTTGTGATTGTTTGTGTTGGCAAATTCGGATCGTGGCGAAACCAAATGGAAGTTCTGTTCAAATCAATAGAATACGTCTTCTCCCATTTTTTGCCAGAGTTTAATGACCATATCTCTTGTTTCATGTCCTTCCCCTCTGATATACACAAACGGTCCTTCATGTTGCTTATAGTAACGTGACCATCAGTTGTAAATGGTATTTTCATACTCACTTCAAAAGTTTCACTTGAAAGATCAAAACACACTATATGCCTTTTCGAATTGGTTACTGTGCTTAGCCAATGAAGTGATCCATCTACGTATGTTGGATTATCACAATAATCTACTTCATAGGGAGAACCAGTCACGTTCCTCCAAATGTTAGAATTAAAAGAGAAAACCTCGCATGTGGTTGTGTTGTCTAATTCCAACACTTTCGAATTATATAACCATACCAACTTATATACTCCATTTTTATTGTCTCTTCCCAATCCAAGCAAGGGGAAAGCTATACGTCCATCGGGAGCTAGACAAAAATAAAAGAGTTGAAACTAAAAAGTTGAAAAACTAACGATTCAAAACCAACGAAATTACTAAAAAGTTGAAAAAGAAATTCAATATAAAAAAATTCTAAACAAGAAAATCCTAATATGGATCTTCGAATAAAACTTACTGAGTTCCATGAACATAAATTGAGAAAGTGAACTTACCACGTCGAGTGTCCAAATGTTCAACAAGATTTTGAAACCTTGCCAAGGGAAGACTCCGATACCATTTTATCGAAGGATTGATCACATAAATCCATCGCATGAAACCGTACATGCATATTAGACCATCGCAACTCTTAGTGACTAAAGCAAACGATTTATCGCATAAAGGATAATAAGAGCGACTCTTCACGAAAACCGATGACCTCAACGTCAATGTGTTTACACAAATTTTAGCGGGTGCGTTCCAATAGTTACGATTTGTCTGGACAAAGAGGATATTCGGATCATGAGATCGCTGACTAAACATCATCTGTCTCTCCTTAAAATATTGAGACATCATCGTTAATTTCCATTCTTTTGATACACATTTGAATTTAATGAGAGACTCAACCGGAAGCTTCTCTAGAATCTTTTCCACAAGATGGTGAGGTAACATTATAGTTGGCCTTTTAACCCCATTTACTTCTCTCTCCCACACCCCAAGTTTAGGTTTATGGTTTCCTCTCTCTTGATCTTCCATTGATATAGTTTTTTTGTTTTGTTATGCGCTTGATGAAACTTATGTTTGCGTTTTTTTTTTTGTTATTAGTCAAACCTATGCTTGAGTTTATATATACAACATACATGATTTGGAATCATACTGAGTAAAGGAAATAATCTAGGAGTGTTTTATCTTCTATGCATATCTTTATATCTATTATTAAATGAGAAATTTTTTATGTTTTTCCAATCATCTAATACCATACTCTGTCTTCATTACTTTAGAAAAAAAAATCTAAATTTCAATTCTTATATGGATATAAATTGTGTATAAGATTTTTCTTATTTCAAAGAGAGATTTTATATTTATATGTAGAAAATTATATTTCCTTCTCATTTTGTAAGGAAAAAAATCATAAAATTTATACTCTTTGTAGAGATATACATACTTTGCACACAGAGAAAATACAGATATACATACTTAGTTTGTCACTTAAAAGTAACAAGTGGTGACAAAATTTTGAAGAAAGAACAAAGAGGACTATCATACTTTTCGCAAAATCTAATATATATTTTAAGCTTTACATTAAATTTAGAGAAAATGATTAAAATATAAAAAATAGGAAAATTGTTCAAATATTGAAAGTATAATTTGGAGATTCTAAACTCTAAATCCCAAAAAATAAAATATTAAATCTTGACTTTAAAAATATTAGTAACCATCAAATCTAGTAAATGACCTATTTTTAGTTAGATATGTAGTTTTCTAAATATGAGATTGCAATTATATATCTTTCATTTTTCATAATGATAAGTTCATAGGGCTTTGACAAAAAAAAAAAAAAAAAAAAAGACATGAGCGTTCAAATATGACTAACATTTGGTTTTTGATAAAAAAAAAATTACAAAATTTAATTTGAAAGTAAAATTTTAGTTTTGCAGTTTTCTCTTAATTTGGTTTGACAATTAATGTCGTATTATGTATTATTATTTTTTTAAGTTGAAAAAGTCGTAAAATGTCTAATGTTTGTCATATTGTAATGTTATTTCGAAAAGCTTATAATACATTTTCATTTGATATGCTTCTGATTCCATTTCAAATTTCTTACACCTAATAGTCATTTCACATTTTCTTGTTGTGAAATAATAGTCAACTAATGAGCCCAACAAATAACTTGAGACTAATCTGAGCCCATTTGAAACCTAAACCAACTAAACCGAAAGAAAAAAAGTAAACCGAAATTTGACCGAACGCCGGCTCCTCCATCTCTCTCGCTGACCACGCTCCTATCCGATAAATCCATTCTCCTCCATTTCTCTATCCCTCTGACGATGGCTGCTCAAAGCTCAAAGCTCAAAGCTCAAAGCTCAAAGCTCAAAGCTCAAAGCTCAAAGCTTGTTTTCTCCTCCACCAACGGCCAACCGCTAATTTCACTACCAGACCCGATCGTTTAAGTTTCGCCCCAGGTAAACTGCTCGAGTATAACCTCAATCAGAGACATTAGATTTCTTCTTCTCGATTTGGCTACGATGATGCCCATTACTCAATTTTATGATTGCTGTCAAAAAGTTATGAGCTTGATTGCTTTTAGTCGTCGTACTCGACATTAGCTTTTGTTTGTTAGAAATGCTTCTTCTTGGGTTGGAACTTGAATTGCTTCCCGCCTCCCTGACCCTGGCTGAATTGGTAGGGAACGTGAATGAATTTACCTTACATTGTGATAAAAAGTATTAGATAGTTCGATCATTTTTTTTACCTGTATACCCAGTTCTCTAGGTGTCTCTGTGTGCTTAGAATCATTTGTTGAGCTCTCTTCTAGTTCTTTTGGGACTGATAGTGTCGCCACAAGTGGCTAATTCGCTTAAAAATGGTGCAGTCTTTTGTAGTTAGAAGCGTTGATGGGAATAGCTCTGAAACACCGGCTTCTCTAAGCTATACAGCTGAGGTTTCAAAACCTATCGTTGAGAAAACATCAAACCGTATTCCACTGTGGATGAAACTGCTACCAATGAAGAGATTATCACAGAGCCAGTAGAGGAACATGTTGCCACACAACCAATAAGCGCAGCAAAAGATCCACGACTTCTGTTCTAGCATCCCTAATGGTACTGTGTGACACTCGAAGTTAAGTTCATATCGTAGCATTTCTGAGTTGCCTGTTAAAGTGTGTTTTATTTTGAACTTTTAAATTTTGTTTTCCCCATTTTCATGTCATATGGGAGAGTATTTATTGTTTGGGTCTTGATTCTGCTTCATAAATGACACTTTCTCAGGTGGTCTCGTTAGGAGTGGAGGCCTTCTGGGGTTTGTGTTTTACAAGTTTAACAACTGGTGTCCTCTATGGTGGTGGCCTTCTATCCCTTTAGTACATTGAGCTAAAAGATTTGGTGACAGGGAAAAGTCTAGTTTAGCTTCTTATATATTAGGGACAAGCAGGTAAGCTACATTTACTGTCTACAGGAACAATAAGCAGGTAATCACTACTTTCAATCAGTAATTCAAAAAATGGAGATCTTCTCTCTTTTGATAACTCTGGTGTGTTGGGTTCCTTGTGTAATTTTATACTTTTTACGAGTTGCTAACTATTCTTGTTTGTGACTCTGTTCTTTCCAGTGTCATAATCTAAAATTTTGTTACTTGTGACATGCTATTCTTGTTTTTTTCTTAAGCTCTATTCACTATTCAGGAGGTTAAACCAAAGGGCTAATCTGGTTGGTCAACTTTCCAGCTTGTGAATACAGCATTTCAAATCAAACAACTCCATATATAAGAAACTTTATCAAAAAAAAGTAAAAGTTGAATTTAGAGTAAAAAACAAGAAAGTAATTCGAGTTAAAAGCAAAGCTGAGTTTTATCAAAGGAAGGTTTACAAAGCAAATTTTTGATTAGCAAGTTGCTTGCGCGCTGAGTTTGTTCCAATAGCTGTAATTTACCTAGATTAGTATTATGAGTTTAAAAAAGCACATAGCACACGGTATAAGTTCTAACATTTTACATCATACCACTAATGTAAATGAAAAAAAAAAACTTCAGTCTGAAGGACTTTATAAAAATAGAAACCTTATGAGCCGACCTGCTGATTATTTTTTCTATATATACCGTAAGCATTCACCACATACAATACAATAACAACATTAAAGTTTTTGTTTTCAAAGTCCCTCTAATAAGTCTCTGATCTAATAAGCCTTTCTTATAATTCTCTAAAATGTCGACTGGTGACAGTGCGACCTCACCACCTAAAAAATTGAGTGAACATGAGAAGAAGCAGATGCTTAAAGAGCTCCAGAAGCAGGCCTATGAGGCATTACTTTGTGCCTTTGGCGTGGAAAACAAGGTACATTTTGAAATTATGGTATTGAGAATTTAAATATTTTTATTGATTCGTAGCTAATTGTTAATTCTCTGACAATTTGTTTTCTTAAAATGTTTTTAGGTGATCGATGATGATGTGAAGAAACTATTGAACATCGAAGAGGAGTCTCCAGAGGAAAAGAGGAAGATAGCGTATGAAGCAATGGTGCTTGCAACCACATTCAATTATTCCTCGCTAGAATTCCGCGATGATGTGTTAGCTAGGTTGAGGAATCAACTTCATATAACCGATAGCTTCCACAGAGAATGCCAGATTCGTGTCAACAACAACAGTTTACTCGTCCAATTTACTGGAGAAGCATCCGGCTCGAACAACGTAGGCGAAACAAGCAGGTGGAGTATCAGTTATGTCAAAGGCAATATCTTACGTCTTAAGAGGACAAAAAAGTAACTTTAGTTTTATCTAAGTAGTAATTAAATACCGTATTTCATCGTCGTCTCTGATCTCTGCGACCGCACATACACCATCGTCGCTGTTGATAAATAAATTATGAGATCCTATTTCTTTTCTTTTTTTTTTTCTTCTTCATAAATAAAAGATGAGATCCTATGTCCAAAGATATTATTTTCATTTTATCAATATATATGTGAATATTATTTCTTATAATTTAACATTGTTTCACTTCGTAACGTTTGTTACTTTCTAATTTCTATTATATATGATCCATTTTTTACCCAGAAAAAATATCTAAATTTTGCAAATGAAAGATACTTTCAGAACCAAAAAAACAGAAATGGAAAATTGGTAGAAGAAAAATGAAACGTGTTAAAGGACAAAAAGGAAGTATCTCTGCTTCTTTCGTGAGCTCAATGTCCTAACCCAATAATTCTTCTATATCTTAAAATGATCAAAGGAAACAAGTGTAAACGAAAAAGATGACCTTCGTCTATCATAACCATTGTTTGAGGAAGAAGCAAACTAATCAAATTCTGAACTAAAACATTACAGGCCCAAAGCCCAAATCACAAACGAGTCAGGCCCAGTTTCTGGTATCGCGTTTCACGCTTACATGCGATTCATACAACAAAACAACAACATCCGGCAATAACTAATAGAGAAGAATTTGTGATATCCTTAGCTTCCTTCCTTTGCTATGAAAATCGTTCCAGATGGATAGTAGTTTCCGATCCACCTTAACTTTAACAGTTCGTTTACCTAATTCTCAAACTGATTTTGTTTTCTTCTAAATACTAGAAAAGCAATGAAAAAGTAGAAAAGGCCACATCTTTTACAAGTCAAAAATTATTAAATGTGTGTAGAAGATAATTTAACACGTCTTTCTTAACGGAGAAATACTCAGCAGATTGTCAAAAAAACTTTTATTCTGGTATGGAAGAAAATACTATACCACTTCTACGTCCTTAACATTCCTTTTTTGGGTATAGTGTAATACTAGTAGTAGACTATTTCTCTGTCTTTACTTGTCCCGGTTTACAATGTGCCCCACTTTCTCAAAATAAAAGAAAGATGTAAATTCGCAACAATATAGTTAGAAAAAAAGAAAGAAGAAGACGGTCGTTATCAGTTCACGGACATTGGTAAAACATGCGCTTTAATCACGCGCTTTCACATCTAATTTAATTAAACATCATTTATAAAAAAATAAACATTATGCATCATCATCTGCAAAAGAATGTTAAATTTATGGTTAATAGCCAATAGAAATCAAATTTCAAAAAGAATAAAAATGAAGTGTAGTAAAACTAAAAAAGGTAAAAGTACCTGGGACGGCCAAAGGCACCAGCTCCATTCTCCTTCCCGTTCGTCAATTCCAATTCGCCCACACTCTCTGCCGTCCACTCGCTTCGTCCCCTGCTTTTACCAAAAGTTCCACCAATCAGCACGCAATATCTCGTTCACGTGTCACGATGGCGCGTTGCTTGTAAAATGTATTTTAATAGTAACAAAAAAAAAGCAGCCGGCTGGTATGGACTGTGTCTTGGTGTTTCTTGATTTCGCCGGAAGGAAGCAGAGAGCATTGGTCTGGAAGTTGTAGGTGGTAAGTGAGTTTCAGAAGATGAATTTTGGTTGAGAAATGTGAGGGAATTAAGGCAGCCAAGGATTGATATCCCACATGAGAGAGAGAGCTTTGATTTGAATGAAGAAGAAGCTGCTGCTTTCTCTCTCTCTCTGTCTCTCTTTGGAATTTGTGTCCTCTATTGTTTTGGGCCTTTTGGCATGGAGAGGTTGATTAGACAGACTTTGGGTGGAAACAAAAGGCTGGTTTGGTTGGTGAATGTTCCAACGTGTGGATCCAACATTTCAAAATAGAAAAACTCCATAATAAACTTTTTCAAAGTAAAATGTGAATTTAGAGCAAAAACAAGAAATTCCAGTCAAGCGAAGATGAGTTTTATCAAGGAAAGGTTTCCACAGCAAAAATTTGATTAGCGAGTTGCTTGCGCCTGTGTATGTTCCAAGAGCTGATTCACTAACTTGTAAGTCCGTCCTGATAAGCCTTTGGTGTGGTTTATCAACTGCTCATGCCTGCAAAAAGCGGAAACAAGATTAGATTGTAGAAATTTCAAAATCAAGGACTAGGATAAGAATGATGTTGTAGATTCTTCTTACACGTTGGGCTGAGTAGGCTCCATGATTACAGTTCCTGACTCGGAATCAATCTTGGCATCAAGCTTTGAGGTGCGGATTAGGTTCACAATCCATCTCTCGGCCTCCTCATAGTTCAGGTTCAATTTTTCAGCAAGCACCCTTGTCAAAATAGACTCGATATAAGTTCAAAGTTAAACCACAAGACCGCAACAATTTCTCTTAGCTTAAATAGCTGGATATGGCATAAAATTTTGATGTGTGGAGAAAGACAAGGAAGAAATAGAAAAAGTTCCAAAAAAACTGAGCAATCCTGAGAGCAGAGTTATGTGGAAACATATACAACCAAAAAGGAGAACTTACCCCATGTCAATCCTTTGATGAATTTTGCAGTAGGTTTCAAAGATAAATAAGCGGGCATTTTCAAGAAATTCATCTCTAAGTGGTACTGTTGAAAAGTTTCCATCCTCAACTCGTTTGCCAAGGAATGGATCATTCACAATGACCTACATCATGTTAAGATGTCAGAGTGTTGATTGTACAGTTCTGCACCAACAAAATATCTATCTATACATATGAGATGAGTTACCTCTTCACACTCTTTCATCTTCTTTTGAGCCCCATCAAAGTCATAATTGACAAACACACATGCCAGGAACTCGATAATAGGATCTTTGTAGGAGTAGTGCTCTTGCTGAATGACCTTAATGAATTCTTTCAATTGAGGTCTTCTCCTTTTGTTGACAATGAAAGCAGTTGCCAAGTAACGCAGCAAGTGTGGAGCACTAGTTTGTATGGCATTCAGATACCTGAAAAAGTAAATCAAATTAGTATGCAGTACTGCAGCATGGAAACAAAGTGAATTTTTTTCCAGCAAATGGCCATACACAAAGCAGAATCCTAAGAAGAGGTCTAGATAAAAAGAAAGACTCTCCAACTAGTGAGAGCTAATCATTTCTTAGCACATCAGGACTAACTTACACTATAAACATTGTTTCACACACAAACACCACCTATGCATAACTTCATCGCATCTAGATCATTCTTATCTTAAAACGTAAGGAAATAGACGGAGATGAAAGGTATAAAGAAGAGATGCAGATAACAGAGAGGTTGAAGCTTACTTGTCTTGGTTAAAAAGATCAATGATCTGTGTCCTTCCATTATCATGGTTAAAAAAGATATAGAGGCCCCAATGCATCAACCAAATCCTGTTCTGCACCTGGTTTAAAGGGGATGAAAAACTCTGAAAAACCAAATGGTAGTTAGCATATATACTCACATCTATATTGATCTCAAAGGTCGCAAGCTAGAAGAAGTTTTAAATGCTAACCTTTGAGTCAATAATCTCTTTAAGACGGTTGAGCTCTTCAAGAGCTATATCCCAGTTTTGCATCAATATTTCAGATGCGAGCTTTCCCCACAAGGCACTCAAACTTCTCTCAAGGTTAGAGCACAGGGTCCTGTACTGGTAGAGATAATCAGCAGCACCAGAATAGTTCCCACATTCAAACTGAAACTTGGCGTACTGATACAAAGCCTCAATCTGGTCTGGACCAATCTGATAAGATAACATGCCATATTAAGATTTGTGTTCCTCAATACCAAACAAATACAAATCTGGATAACATTTTACAAAATTAAACAACTTTATCATCCAAATCACAACCTGATAGCGTTCCTTGAGCATCTGGAGATTGTACTGCTTGTCAGCTCTTAGCTCCTGCACAGCGGTAGGGTTCAAAAGAAAAGACACGAGTGGAGCAGCAGCCTCCTCCAAAGATTTGAGCCTAGCCACAACCTCTGCTCTTCTCTCCACCATATCTATCACCACAAATTTCAACATTCATCATCAAACAAACAAACCAAGTACAGAAAAACGCAAATTCACAGACATTTCCGAAGAGGAATACTCAAAAATACCTTGAGGAGCGTCTTCAGTGTGGTAGAGGCTCTTGTGGATATCCATGGCGTAATCAACCATGTTCGTCTGGTTCAAAAGCTCGATCTTAAACTTCAGGATCTGCTCATCAGGGTAAAGCTGACGCTCTTGAAGGAACTCGAGTATAGGAAACACCAAGTGTCTGTCCAGGTTAGGTGCTACTCGTGGCGTCAGGTCATAGTTCTCTTTGATTTCCTCCATCGTCGCAAATCTCTCAATCTCCGCCGCTTCCCAGTGGCAAAATCTTCTTTAGACGGCAGAGATGGGAGTTTCAGAGACGATGAGGTAAAAATCTTGTATATTGAAATTAGGGTTTTCTCGAACAAGAGCTTTAAATATTTATAAATTCGCCCCTTTACTTCTTATATATATTTGTTTTACTCCCACAACTTAACCTAGCCGTCGTTATCTGATCGACCGGTACCGGAGGGGTTAAGAAAAAATAATAAAAAAAGGAAATTAAATGATTTTTGTGGAGGGGCGCACGGTAAGAAGCTTTATTCGAATGGCGTATGTTAGTAGTCTGGACTCCTTCCCGTACCGCCTGTGTCCACTAACTTGCGCATGTTCGTCTTTAACCTTTCGCCTCTTCCTCTATCATACTGGATTAGGGTTCTTCCTCGAGACGTACTCTTTTTCTTTCTCGTGACGAATGTTTCCGTCTAGCAGCTTTTAAGGGCTAGACTCTCAGAAATTTTGACGCCGTGTCATTCTCTTCTGTCTCTCATGGATCCTTCAAGACGACCACCGAAGGACTCTCCTTACGCGAATCTCTTCGATCTCGAGGTCTGTTTGGTCTCAAAATTTTTGTGATTCCCTTGAAATTGTAAAATTATGCTGTGTGGTTTGTACTTGTTGGATGATGATCATGTGACTGTGATGAATGTAGTTTTGGTGATTGAAAATCTTGCAATTCTATAGCTTGTCCTTGTTTCTTTAGTGGGTTTTTGTTTTACTGTTAAAATTCAGTGTGGGTTTTGTGGCTAAATTCTTCAATCTTACAGCCGTTGATGAAGTTCA